ACTTGGGTATCAAAATTTTGAATAATTTGTAGTTGAAATGTGGACTTTAATAGAAATCTGATGTGGCTAGTATTTTTACTATAGAGTGTTAATAATACAATTATTTACCTTCTTCACAATTGTCTGTGCCTGATTCACTGTCGCTTCCACTATTTAATTCGTCTTCACTTGTTGTACCTTCATCTAGAATGACAGGTTTTTCATTTGTAGCAGATAAGTCCGGTTTCAGACCAGAAAGTGTGTGATAAACTAAGTTTGCCCCTCCGGACTTAGCTAAGTTTATATCTCTTTCGTAATCTACAACCTAAAAGCAACACATTGTTAAAAAAAAAAGCAAGTTAAAATAATACTGATTCTGTTTCAATTACCTCTGTTAATGTTTGTGGAATGTAGGAGTTTTTGAAAACTTCATCATCTACTTGTTCTTCTGCTGTTACGTCTCTTTGAGAAGCCTTTAAAGATATCTTCTCTAAATATTCTTCCATATTTTCTTCGTTTATTGTAGGGTCAGTAATAAAATCAAAAAGTTCCTTCACCAGCATCACTGCAACTTTGTTTTTCTTAAAGAAATCAGTGATATTAGAACAATCTTTGCGTAAAAACTCCAAAGCATGTGGGTGATCATGTTCTACTGATTGTGATACGTCAATAATAATAATCTTGCCTTTGTGGTATAACAAATTAAATTCTGAAAGATCTGCATGGACAAGTTTGCATTTATTATACATTGTCCACATCATTACAACAATATCATGGTAAAGTTCTCTTGCTTTTGTTTCAGTCAACTCAGCATCTTTCAGTTTCTGCGAAGGCCAACCGTCCACACCTATAAACTCCATCAAAAGCACATGACTTCTGAGTAAAATCGGTTCGGGAACAGGTAAACCAACACTTTTCATTCTTGTTAAATTCCTCATTTCTTTCTCAGCCCATGTGTTAACCATTTTGCGTGGGTTGTGTCTGCAATAACCGTGACGAAACCGGAATTCACCGGTTACATACTTGTCACGGTCTTTAAAAACTAGAATGGATGTTTTGTAGATTTTAATTGCGTATTCTGAACCATCAGAAGAAGTTGCGTGGTAAACATTAGCTTCTTTGCCTGTTGATATACAACCGTTGATTTCTGTTATAGCACCACGGTTTAGGATTTTGAACAAAATCATCCTGGTTCTAGGGTCCATGACTTGTTCAACTGTAGCACGATCGTTTTTATCTTTTTTTCTAAGCCTGGAAGCATCGTATTTTCTATTGTTTTCTATTAAAGTGTTGACAACATGTCCGGGCAAAGAGGGCCCTTCGTATTTTTCTAAATTGATTTTGTTGGTGAACTTTTTAAAGACGTTTTCTTGGGGTTGATAGCTTGTGAGTTTGGTGCTGTTGTGGGAGTTGACGTGATTTGAATCATTTGTTTGGTAAAGTGCATGTGATTTTTGGTAATCTACAGAAGTCTCCCAGGTGTCATACTCTTCGTCTGAGGAGTAATCGTTTTCGTCATCGTTTGATATATATTCGTCTACATCACATTTTAATTTGTGCAAATCTTTAGATAGATCCTAAAATAATAATAAAAATTGGAAAGTAATTATAAAAAACTTGCAAGACGAACTATTAAATTTATTGAATACATAGTATAGTTACATTTAGCTTGTTGTCGGGTATTATTGAACTTTCATCATCACTAAATTGATGTTCCATTTTTATTAAAATACTTTTATAATTAACAAATTAATATATTATTTTTGTTTTGTGAAGTTAACCTCAACTGTCACATGTTTTTAGAACATGCACCATAGACACTAATATTTTTGTTCGATGGATTGGAAACGTCATGCTAATGTTGGTATTTGACAGCAACGCAAACGAAGTATCTATGTCTTGACAGTTGGTAGTTTGATTATTTTGACAATCAAACATTCTTGTAAAAATGCATTTAAATAAATCTCAAGTATTATTTAATTTAAAGTATTATTATTAAAATAAATATATATGTGTATAATAGTTTAAAAATGTGTTCTAAAAAGCGCAGTGTTTTACGTGTGATTTTACCAATATTATGTGCCATGTTTGTGATATACATTTTGCTGTACATAAAATACAAAAACACTTTCATATCAAAACCGCCATTAAATAATTTAAAAATAGTAAATAAATATATTACAATAACCCCTGATATTATTATAGCATGTGTGGTTTGTGGGGATCGTTTAAACGAAGCCTTAACAATGCTCAAATCAGCAATAGTATTTTCAATGAATGCAAGACTCAAATTTATAATATTTGCTGAAAACAATTTACTTTTTGACATAGACAAGGTGCTGAATAAATGGACTGTCAATACAACTTTGAGCTACGAGTTGAAAAAACTATCGTTTCCTATTAAAAATAATAAAGAATGGAAAAATTTGTTTAAGCCTTGTGCAGCACAACGACTGTTCCTACCAGATTTGTTAACAGACATTGATTCTGTACTGTATGTAGATACTGATACTATTTTTATGGCGCCTTTGTATATCACTTGGAATCTTTTTAAAGAATTTAATGCAACACAACTAGCCGGTTTATCACCTGAGCACGAGGATCCAAATGTCGGTTGGTACAATAGATTTGCAAAGCATCCTTATTATGGAAAACTTGGAGTTAATTCTGGAGTTATGCTCATGAATTTAACACGCATGAGACACTTCCAATGGTCCAAATATGTGCTACCCATTTACCAAAAGTATAAAAACAAAATATCGTGGGGCGACCAAGATATAATCAACATCATATTCCATTACCAGTCTGATAAACTTTTATGTATTTCCTTGTCTTTTCAACTACAGACCAGATCATTGTATGTACATGAGCGTTTGTAACCCACAAAAACCTTATGAAGGTGTTATTGTGTTACACGGGAATAGAGGTTACTTCCATTCCTTAAAACAACCCATATTTCATACAGTTTATGAAGCAATGGCCAATTTTGATATAACAAGTGATCCGTATCAAAATTTCTTGGCGGTTGTTGAAAAGTTTGTTGAAACTAATTCAACTACAAATTGTGGAAGAGTTAAAGATCTATTCTTGACTTATGGTAGAAAATATATTAAAAATAATTCATGATAATAGGAATAAATTGAAGTGAAAGTGCAATTGAAATACTCATTGGTGTTTATATAATAAATTATTAAAATTGAATAAGAAAAAATTACTTAAAATGCATAATTCAGGATATAGTTTTGTATTGAAAAACTTTATGATAAATGTGATATGCAAATAGTTTTAACTTTTAAGTATTATAGACTTATGAAAAGTGTTTTAATTATATAAATTCATTAAAGTTTGCATTAATGGGCTGTGCTGTTTCTTAGGACACTCATTGTGTAAGTAATTGTTTTTATTTTTTTAATAAATATTTATGTATGTAAGTTGTGTGTTTCAGATTTTAAAGTTTGACGACTTTTTTCGTCATATTTTTGTTCCAAAAGTTGAAAATTGGCAAATGCATTTGTATAGAGAATTTTATAAGCTTCTTAACTATATAAAATAATATTTATGTAATCCAACAAGTTTTTGCACATTTTAAATAACAGTCAAAAAACGTACGACATTTTGTTTGCAAAATTGTATGATTTTAAAGTTTGACGACTTTTTTGTCATGTTTTGTTCCAAAAGTTAAAAATTGATAAGTGCAGTTTTGTAGAGAATTGTATAAACTTTTTATCTATATAAAATAAACTATATGTATTTAAACAAGTTTTTGCACATTTTAAACTTTTGTCGAAAAACGTACAAACATTTTGCTAGCAAAGTTATACGATTTTAAAGTTTGACGATTTTTTACGTCATGTTTTTGTTCGAAAACTTGAAAATTGGTAAATGTAGTTGTATAGACAATTTTATAAGCTTTTTATTTAGATAAAATAAAATTTATGCATTTAAACAAGTTTTTACACAATTTAAACTTTTGTTGAAAAACGCACAAACATTTTGTTTGCAAAGTTATACGATTTTAAAGTTTACCGACTTTTTTCGTCATGTTTTCGTTCCAAAAGTCAAAAAATTGGTAAATGCAATTAAGTAGAGAATTTTATAAGCTTTTCAATTATATAAAATGAAATTTATGTACTTTAACAAGTTTTTACAGAATTTGAACAAATATGAAAAACAAACATTTTACTCGCAATGTTATACGATTTTAAAGTTTGACGATTTTTTTCGTCATATTTTTGTTCCAAAACTTAAAAATTGGTAAATGCACTTGTGTAGAGAATTTTATAAGCTTTTTATCTAGATAAAATAAAATCAGTGTACTTTAACAAGTTTTTGCACAATTTGAACAAATATCAAAAACGTACAAACATTTTGCACGCAATGTTATATGATTTCAAAGTTTGACGACTTTTTTCGTCATGTTTTTGTTCCAAAACTTAAAAATTGGTAAATGCAGTTTTGTAGAGAATTTTATAAGCTTTTTATATATATAATATAAAATGTATGTACTCTAATAAATTTTTGCACATTTTACAATAATGTCGAAAAACCAACAAACATTTTGTTTGCAAGTTATACGATTTCAAAGTTTGACGACATTTTTCGTCATAGAAAGTTAAAAATTGGTAAATGCCATTGCATAGACAATTTTATAAGCTTCTTATCTGTATATAATAACATTCAAGTGTTTTAACAAGTTTTTGCACATTTTAAACTTATGTCGGAAAACGTACAAACATTCCTTTCTCAAAGTTACGACTTTAAAGTTCAACGATTTTTTTCGCAATATTTTGTTCCAAAAGTTGAAAATTGATGCATGCAGTTGTGTAGAGAATTTTATAAGCTTTTTAACTATATAAAATAATCTATATACATATTAACAAATTTTTACGATTTGTAAAAAAATGTACCAGATGAAATTTCAAATTCATGATATTTTTGTTCTACAAGTTAAAAGCAAATTAATACACGAGTATATATTATAAATATATTTATTCTAGTTATTACATCATATATTTCTTTTACTATTTCGATGCTAATTTCTTATAATGTGCAATTTTAAGTCCGATAACATTCAAAATCTCCTTTCCAGATGTCGAAGAATCTTCAGTACAAGCATTTATTATGAGTCCACATTCCCGAATAAAATACTCCAGTTCCTTCTCAACAGAATCCGGCAAAGGATCACTTGGATTACTAGGAACGGATTTATTTTTTGCTGCTGTTATACATTTATTAGTAAGTTGTGCTAATTTTGATTGCTCCGAACTGAAAGCTTCATCCAAATCGAATAATTCTAGGGGAGGATGTTGCAGTTCCATAAATTGGGGCGGAAAAACCTAATAGTAAAAGACACATTTTAGAACTTGTACATTTTGCGGACATTCTTTTGATTTTACTTAAATATCTTCAAAAATTTATTCTACGAAAATATAAACAAATATACGGTTGGAAAGCTGTTTAAATTGTCTATAATGTTGTGTAGTTTTTTATATTAAATCTGATTCTAGATAAATATAATGTCGATTAAAAATACATCTTTGCTTACGCCGTTTTTTTTCAAAGAAGTTCTTTGCAATAACGGCGGGAGCAAAGTTGTGCCTGGAATATATAGAGCGGTCATTTTTTTTTGGTTTTTCTTAAATATCTTCAAAAATTTATTCGACAGAAATAAAACTAAGTATACGGTTGGAAAGCTGTTTAAATTGTCTATAATGTGGTGTAATTTTTATATATTAAATCTCATTCAAGATAAATACAATGTTTATTAAAAATACAACTTTGCTTCCGCCGTTTTTGCATGGCGAGTTCTTTACAATAACGGCGGGAGCAAAGTTGTGCCTGAAATATTAATGATAGCACTCTTCTTTTTATTAATGATACTCTTCTTTTATCTATGAATGATAGATTGCGGACCTTTTTTAGGTTTTTCTTAAATATCTCCAAAAATTTATTCGACATAAATAAAAATATGTAGACGGTTGGAAAGCTATTTAAATCGTCTACCATATGGTGTAATTTTAATATATTAAATCTGATTCAAAATAAATATAATGTCCATTAAAAATACAACTTTGCTTCCGCCGTTTTTGCTAGGCGAGTTCTTCGCAATAACGGCGGGAGCAAAGTTGTGCCTAGAATATTAATGATAGATTGCGGACCTTTTTTAGGTTTTTATTAAATATCTTCAAAAATATGTTCCACGAAAATAAAAACAAATATACGGTTGTAAAACTGTTTAAATTGTCTATAATATGGTGTAATTTTTATATATTAAATCTGATTCTTGATAAATATAATGTCCATGAAAAGTACAACTTTGTTCTTGCCGTTTTTGGTAAAGGAATTCTTTACGATAGCGGCGGGAGCAAAGTTGTGCCTGCAATATATAGACAATGATCGCGGGCATTTTTTGGTTTTTCTCAAATATCTTCAAATATTTATTGGACGGAAATAAAACTAAGTATACGGTTGCAAAGCTGTTTAAATTGTCTATAATGTGCTATAATTTTTATATATTAAATCTTATTCAAGATAAATATAATGTTCATTAAAAATACAACTTTGCTTCCGCCGTTTTTTTCAAAGAAGTTCTTTGCGATAACGGCGGGAACAAAGTTGTACCTGTAATGTATAGATAATGGATATTTTTTTAATTTTTCTTAAATATCTTCGAAAATTTATTCCACAGAAATAAAACTAAGTATACGGTTGGAAAGCTGTTTAAATTGTCTATAATGTGGTGTAATTTTCATATATTAAATTTGATTCTAGATAAATATAATGTCCATTAAAAATACAACTTTGCTTCCGCCGTTTTTGCTAGGCGATTTCTTTGCAATAACGGCGGGAGCAAAGTTGTGCCTGGAATATTAATGATAGATTGCGGACCTTTTTTAGGTTTTTCTTAAATATCTTCAAAAATTTATTCCGGGGAAATAAAACTAAGTATACGGTTGGAAAGCTATTTAAATTGTTTATAATGTGGTGTAACTTTTATATATAAAATCTGATTCTATATAAACATAATGTTTATTAAAAATACAACTTTGCTTCTGCCGTTTTTGCTAGAGAAGTTCTTTGCAATAACGGCGGGATCAAAGTTGTACATGTAATATATATGGATAATGGACATTTTTTATTTATATTGTGGACATTTTTTGTTTTTTCTTGAATATCTTCAAAAATTTACTTAAAACAAGAAATACTAAATATACAGTTGAAATTTTGAACTATTTTGTTTATTTGTTGATTAATATATATAATTATAAATGTATTTGAAATTTAACTAAAACATGCAAGCGCCTTAGTTAAACAACAGATTAACCTTATTGTTACGGACATTTTGCTAGTTTTTCGTAAATATTTAAAAAAAAATTTTCAATACAAGAAAAACTAAATAAACAGTTGAAAAGCTAATAAAATTTTTAACAGTTTTGCATAATTATTAAATAATATATATATATATATAATTGTAAATGCATTTAAAATTTAATTAAAACTCGTTGACGACGCTTTTAGTTAAACAGCAGACTATAGCCTCGTAGATGCGGACATTTTTTTAGTTTTTCTTAAATATTTTTAAAAATTTATTCAACACAAGAAAAACTAAATATACAGTCAAAAAAAAACTCTTTAAATTGTCTATAATGCAATATAATTTTTATTTACGATATTTAATTCAAAATATATCAAAAAAGCCTATTGCAAATTCAATAGTATCGAAAATGTACAGTTTAGATTTATATGGCGGACATTTTTTTAATTTTTCTTAAATATTTTTAATAATTTATTCAACACAAGAAAAACTAAATATACAGTTGAAAAGCTGATGAAATTCTAAACTGATTCTCATAATTGTTAAATAAAATAAATTAAAATAAAATATAAAATATGAAAACTATATACCCAGTTGAAAATCTGTTTAAATTGTCTATAATACCATATAACTCGTATATATTAAATTCATTTTCAAATATATATAATGTCCATTGCATTGAAGTATATTAAGTGTACAACTTTGCTTCGGCCGCTTTCTTTACATAAAACTTCCACCAAAACGGCAGAGGCAAAGTTGTATACCTTACATATATATATATATATATATATATATATATATATATATATATATTAAATCAATTATACTTACTGCTAATTCCAGTGGTGGCAAAGGAATTTCAAACTGTGGTGTTATTATAGACAATTCTTCGTACTTCACATTTAGTTTTTCATAAGCCTTCATTACATCAGGTACTAAAAAAATAATTATATATATATATATATATATATATATATACATATATATGTATGTATATATATATATATATATATAGAATTTTATGATATGAGTGGAACGAATATTAATTGTTTAATATGAACAAAACAGCACTCAGATTTGTTTAACACAACTTTATTTTATGATTACAGACGTTTCGAGACCATGGTGTGTCTCATCTTCAGTGTAATTTCAAAAACAGTTACTTATATACTACACATTCTTTAATAATTTATTTAAATTTCATTTAATTTTTGGTGTACAAAAAACACCAACTATTCCTTGCAATGCTTGACACAGTACTAAAGAAACATACTCCTATAATACTTACAGAAATATTCTAAACAAATTTGAAGTACTTATATAGATGGAGACAGAGAGGGTATCATCATTATAATGTAAACAAAAGGAGTGCTATCGCATACAAAAATCGATAAAAATGAAAAAACAAATTAATTTATTGAAAAGAATAAGATAAATGAAAAAAATTTATAAATTATTAATGATGTTTATATAAGTGTCATGTAAAATATTTGTGTCGGTTCTTAGATTTATGCTATTGTCAGTCCGAACTATTAACATTGATTCTGCCATGCTCCGTTTAAATAAGTCTTTCTCATGGAATAAAATTTGGGGATTGTCAAAATCAAACTTATGGTTGTTGATATTAGCATGATCCACAAGTGTACTTTTAAATTTTTTGTTATCTATTTTTTCACATTGTAATTCATGTTGCCTGAGTCTCTTTTCTAAGTTCTGGCAGGTCTGGCCAATATAAGAGCAATTACAATCCAAACAATTTACTTTATAAACTATATCTTTCTTTTTTGTTAATGGAGTTTCATCTTTAATTTTGGAATATAAAAATTTTAATTGTTTTAATGGAGAAAAAGTAATACGAATATTGTGTTTTTTGAAAAGTCTTTTTGATAATTGGTTAAAATTATTGTCAAGATATGGAAAATTAATGAAAAAAGTTTTTTCAGGAACACTTGTTTTGCCAGGCTCTTCCGGTTTCTTATCAAAAGGTTCAAGTAATTTTGCGACTCTATTTTTAATAATTGGACAAATTAACTTATATGGAAAATTATTGCCAAGTAGGATCGTTTTAACTAATTTTATGTTTGTATCATAAAACAGGGGATCAGATAATAAAATAGCGTGATCTACAAGATTTAGAATGGTAGAAATTTTTATATTGAGAGGAACATGCGAATTAAAATTAATGTATCTCCCGGACCAACTATCTTTTCTGTACCAGTCTGTATTATTATCTTATTCTTTTCAATAAATTAATTTGTTTTTTCATTTTTATCGATTTTGTATGCGATAGCACTCCTTTTGTTTACATTATAATGATACCCTCTCTGTCTCCATCTATATAAGTACTTCAAATTTGTTTAGAATATTTCTGTAAGTGTTATACGAGTATGTTTCTTTAGTACTGTGTCAAGCATTGCAAGGAATAGTTGGTGTTTTTTGTATACCAAAAATTAAATGAAATTTAAATAAATTATTAAAGAATGTGTAGTATATAAGTAACTGTTTTTGAAATTACACTGAAGATGAGACACACCATGGTCTCGAAACGTCTGTAATCATAAAATAAAGTTGTGTTAAACAAATCTGAGTGCTGTTTTGTTCATATTAAACAATTAATATATATATATATATATATATATATATATTATAGAATTTTGTTATATGAGTGGAACGAATATTAAATGTTAAATATGAACAAAGCAACACTCGTCAATGCAACAATTGTCACTTGTCAATGCAAGGAGTAGTTGGTGTTTTTATATTCAAAAGTTAAATATAGTTTAAATAAAATATTAAATAATGTATAGTAATAAGTAACTGTTTATTGAAATTACACTGAAAATGAGGCACACCATGGTCTTGAAACGTTTGTAATAATAAAATAAAGTTGTTAAAAAATCTGAGTGTTGTTTTGTTCATATATAACATTTAATATATATATATATATATATATATATATAATATATATATATATATATACATAATTTATATTATATACCTAAGTCGGTATTTATGGAATACAATTCCATATTAAACAGTTGTCTAAAATCACTTGGGACTTCTGTTTCGATAGAATCGATCAGGCACAATCTTGGTTTATCAGCTAATTTAACCAGATCACCAGCCAAGTAATAATCTATTATCTAGAAACAATTATTTACTTTACATATATATATATATATATATATATATATACGTGTATATATATATATATATATATATATATATATATATATATATATATATATATATATATCTTACATCTGGTTCATGTATATCATTCCTATTAAGTTCCATATCATCGGTCGTTATCAAAGTCATCAGAGTTTGCCAAATGCACCAATTATCATCCTGATCGATATACTGGTCACATATGAAATATCCTGAACCCAAAACCAACAGCTTTCCTAACAATATATATTTATAATTAATATTATTATAAAACTCTAAATTATTTTATTATCACCGACCTCTATTTTGGTTTTTGTAATAAGCTGCCACAGGCCTTTGCATAGGGTAACAAACTGTTCCCGAAGACAATAAAACAATTGAAGGCTCGACTACGTTTAATGTGGCCCCATAAGGGTAGACAAAATGCAGTTTATCCTGTAAATAAATAATAATAATAATGTTAGTAATAAGTGCCATGATAATAGATATATGATAATGGTTTTATAAATAAGATATGTGATATATTTTTTTATATATTGAGAAAATAAACATTTCATGTATATATAAATCCTATAAGGTTTTTATATATGTAAAATAAAATGTATGTGCTTAAAGAAGTTTTTGCAGAATTTGTGATGTCAAAAAATGCACAAACATTTCGTTTGCAGTGTTACACAATTTTAAAGTTTGGCGAATTTTTTCGTCATGTTTTTGTTCCACAAGTTCAAAATTGTTAAATGCAGTTATGTAGAGAATTTAATAAACTTTTTTTCAATATAAAATAAAATGTATGTGCCTAAACAAGTTTTTGCACCATTTAAACAAATGTGAAAAAATGTATAACCATTTTCATTTTTGTTCGCAATTTTATACGATTTTAAAGTTTGACGATTTTTTTCATGTATTTGTTCCAAAAGTTGAAAATCTTTAAATGCAGTTATGTAGAAAATTTCTTAAGCTTTTCATATGTGTAAAATAAAATTTATGTGCTTAAACAAGTTTTCGCACAATTTAAACAAATGTGAGAAAATGTACAAGCATTCTCATTTTTGCTTGCAATTTTATACGATTTTAAAGTTTGACGATTTTTTTCGTCATGTATTTGTTCCAAAAGTTGAAGTTAGGTAAATGCACTTGTATAGAGAATTTTATAAGCTTTTCATATATGTAAAACAAAATGTATGTGCTTGAACAAGTTTTTGCACAATTTAAATAAATATCAAAAAACGCGCTCGCAAATCAATTCTTATCGATTAAGCTGATTATTTACGCCTTTCACATAACTTGCCTCAAAGCAAAGTGCCACTTACACCTAGTTCATTTTATATTCAACATTATATATATATATATATATATATATATATATATATAAAGCGAGAGATATTTCTTCAGATGGTGAAATAATATAATAAAATTGTTTCTTGGGCATCCATCCAGTAATTAACTAGTTGGTTTGGTATTTAGCCTTGAGGCAAGTTACATGAACTTCCCGATATATGTAAATAATCGACTTAATAAAAAAAAAAGTATAAATAATATACTTCATCAATCCTACTTAAAAAAACGATAATAATTTTAGCAAACTTTGACGATTTTTTAAAATTAAACTACTTGTCGTAAGGCCATAATATTACAGTAAGTTCTATAAGACCATGATGTATATCGCCAAAAAAAGTTCCATAAAAATCGGCTTAAATTTTTTTTTCAACAGTTAATTACAAGAAAACGGCTCGGTAGATTTTCACCTAAAATTAATTAGTATCATTCCCAACTAATATCTTTCAAACAGTTTTTAATTTTTTAAAATCGGTTCGGTAGGATGAGCTTAAATGTCGACGAAAATTTAACACTTTTTTTCAACAGTTAATTACAAGAAAACGACTCGGTAGATTTTCACCTAAAATTAATCAGTATCATTCCCACCTAATATCTTTCGAACAGTTTTTAATTTTTTAAAATCGGTTCGGTAGGATGAGCTTAAATGTCGACGAAAATTTAACACTTTTTTTCAACAGTTAATTACAAGAAAACGGCTCGGTAGATTTTCACCTAAAATTAATCAGTATCATTCCCAACTAATATCTTTCGAACAGTTTTTGATTTTTTAAAATCGGTTCGGTAGGATAAGCTTAAATGTGGACGAAAAGTTTAACACTTTTTTTCAAATTACAAAGAAACGGCTTGGCAGATCGTTGCACAAAACTGACAAACGATAGTCCTCACCGAAATACATCAAATGGCTTTTAAATTTCTAAAATCGGTTCAGGCGTTTTTGAGAAAACGTCGATCAAAAGTCTAATTTTGACAAATGCCAAAAAGACCATACTGATTTTTGCAAACTTTGACGAATTTTTAAAGCTGAACCAGTTGTCGTAGGGCCGTAATATTTTAGTATGATCTAGAAGACTATGGTATCTATCGTCAAAAAATAATCATAAAAATCGTCAAAATTTTTTTTTAAAAACTTTATTACAAGAAAACGGCCCGGCCGATCTCTACCAAAAACTAATCAGCACGATTCCCAACCAATATCTTTCGAACGGTTTTTGAATTTTCAAAATCGATTCAGAATTGCGGGCTAAAACGTAGACGAAAAATTTTTCACTTTTCTGACATTTATAAAGAAACGGCTTGGCCGATCGTCGCACAAAACTGACAAACAATAGTTCTCGTCGAGATACATCGAATGGCTTTTAAATTTTTGAAATCGGTCCAGCGGTTTTCGAGAAAACGTCGATTTACGGCAAAAAATCTGTTCACATACACGCACACACACACATACACACACACACACACACACACACATACTTTTTCCAAATTTGGTCTCATTCGATTCAGAATGGCTTGAAACGTCGAGAAAACATAAAATTAGCAATTCGGATTTTTTGATGAAAACATAAACTTCTCCTTCGGGAAGTTAAAAAACAGTTTTAAATTTACAATTTTTTTTAAATTTTCATAACTCGACGTTTTATCAATTTTTTATTTCATATTTATTTTTTTCGTGCAACTTTGTGTGTTTTTGTGTTATTTTTCAAAGTTTATTTGTATGGTGAGTTTCTTTGCATTTGTTTATTTTATGGTTGTTTTTCATATACATTGTTTTACTAATTTTTGTCTGTTAATTATGTATTTTTTATATTGTTTTAATTTGTAACCCTGAATTATTTAATTGTAGCACTGAAGATGGGTCAAATCAAGACCCGAAACGTATGTTCTCTATAAATAAAAACATTTTAAAACTGTTTTTTAATTACTGGATGGATGCCCAAGAAACAATTTGAATTTATATATATATATATATATATATATATATATATATATATATATATATGTTTACATACAGAACCAGAATCTCCTTGACCACTTTTCGATTTATTTTTTCCATTATAAATCAAAGCTTGTTGAGTTATAATTCTGTTTGTAATTCCTTGAGAGACTCGGGCTTCTTTGGGATGATAATATTTATAATAATGTGTACGTACAACGCAATCTGAAATAAATCAATACTAAATAATTAATTATAAACCGTTATAATGATTTCTTTCACCATTGTTTATCATTATTCCGAATTCTTCTAACAAAAAGTTAATATTTGTATCGAACTTGCTCTCGCCGCCTTCGCCTAATAAGACAACGACTGAACCACCATTGTTGATATAAATCTGGAATTGGTTAATAAATTAATACACAAAATTACTTATTATTTAGTGATTGTGATATTTACTTTTATGTGTTCAATTTCTTTTTCAGAAAATTTCTCTCGTGGACCTCCTAAGATAAATATTTTTGCTCCTGATAAACTTCTCTCGTTTATTTCGTCCTTGTTACTGAGGGAATAAATTTCATATATTAATTCGAGTATATTAACAAATTTGTAGAATGTTGTTCTGCGACCAATCACAATGCTCGAAAATGACGTATGTTATTAATTAATATTGTTCGTTCGGTTTTTTTCGTTTCCTTTCGCCCCTTTCGCATAGGTTATAAATAGGAGTGCGCGAAGGAATTCTTGGCAGTCGTCGGCCGCGGCCGGCGCCAGCGTCACCCAGGGCGGCGCTGAAAGCCCCCGGGGCACCAGGCCGGCAGCTCCCATCGGAGCTGGAGTGGTCGGGAGCCCCGGGGCATCCGCCGGAGACTCCCGGCAGCGGAGATTCCGTGCCTCGGAGTCTCCGAGCCACGGGAACTCCGTGCCTCGGAGACTTCGTGCTACGGGGACTCCGTGCCTCGGAGACTTCGTGCTACGGAGACTCCGTGCCTCGGAGACTTCGTGTCACAGAGACTCCCGAGCCACGAGGACTCCGTGCCTCGGAGACTCTGAGCCACGGAGATTCCGTGCCTCGGAGTCTTCGGGTCACGGAGACTCCCGAGCACGGAGACCTTCGGGCCACAGAGACTTCCGGTCACTGGAGACTCTAATCATAATCTGAACTTTAAAATCCAACTAAAATTACTTCCTTGCAGTCCGAAGTCTCAGTGGCCAGGTTACCTGGGAACCCCGTCGGCCGGAGTATCCGTGCCCGGGAGTCTCCGGTGGCTCAGAGTCTCCGAGGCACGGAGTCCCCGTGGCTCGGAGTCTCCGTGGCTCGGAGTCTCCGTGGCACGAAGTCCCCGTGGCACGGAGTCCCCGTAGCACGAAGTCTCCGAGGCACGGGTTCTCCGAGACACAGAGTCCCCGTGGCTCGGAGTCTCCGAGGCACGGAATCCCCGTGGCACGGAGTCTCCGAGGCACGGTGTCCCCGTGGCTCAGAGTCTCCGAGGCACGGAATCTCCGTGGCACGGTGTCCCCGTGGCTCGGAGTCTCCGTGGCCGGGAGCCTCCGGCGGATGCCCCGGGGCTCCCGACCACTCCAGCTCCGATGGGAGCCGCCGGTCTGGTGCCCCGGGGGCTTTCAGCGCCGCCCTAGGTGACGCTGGCGCCGGCCGCGGCCGACGACTGCCAAGAATTCCTTCGCGCACTCCTATTTATAACCTATGCGAAAGGGGCGAAAGGAAACGAAAGGAAACGAACGAACAATATTAACTAATAACATACGTCATTTTCGAGCATTGTGATTGGTCGCAGAACAACAATCATCTAAAATTATTTATTCAATAATAAAAGAACATCGCATTACCTATCTCAAGTATAAGGGATAAATGAACTTTTGGTGGTAACATTTTTATATAAACAGTTTTAAAGTATATAGAGTTGCTATAGGTCGTTATTATGTTAGACAATATTGTAGAACGTTTAATTCTTAACAAATTTCCCGAAAACAGCATTCGTTTTCATTAAATGGTCTAAAAGTTATTAAAGATATAAAATAATTAGATCAATATTTTGCCTAAAGAAACGCTAACGATAATTTTCAACTTCCCGTAGGACAAGTTATAGTAATCGCAAAAAAAACAAAGTGAAATTTTTTATATATCTTTACGTTTCAAAACCTTATGAACATTTTGGCATACCTTAGAAAAAATGGCTGTATGTATGTGTGTGTGTATGTATGTGCGGATACAAATTTTCGTCGACGATTTAGGGAACACGGATCAACCGATTTGAATAATTCAAAAAACATTCAATTCGTATTGATAAAGAGACGTGCTGATTAGTTTTTGGCGAAGGCTGGTCTAGCCGTTCCGAAGATACGGGGCAAAAAGTGCCGAAAACGGTAACTCAGTTTTTAAGAGAACGGATCGTCCGATTCGAATAATTCAAAAAACATTTGTATTAACTGAGTGAAGAACTGTTCAAATTTTTGGAAAGGCAGGTGCAAGGAATTCGGAGATATGGCGGAAATAGTAAAAAAATGAGCCATTTGGCGGTCAAAAATAAACATTAGGCATATGCACATCAAATAATTAGATATTTTATAGAGATTTTAACAATAAATATAAATTTTGTTTACATTCCTATGGGTTCCGTACCAATGTTTAGACGGCGAAGCGGCGCTTACGCGCTTCGATATTTCAACTTTATGCAGTTAAAGCAGTACGATTGTTTTGAAAAAAGTACAGAATTTCCAAAATATTTCAAAATAAATGATTTAAGATAGAATGATTTAAGATGATTTTATATGATTCGAAATTCTATTAAAAGTTTCAAATCATTGATCAACTTTTATTGATTATTATATTGATTATTTTTAACTACTCTAATTTTGAATTGCGGTACGGGAAGTTCCAGCAATTTGCCTTAAGTCACGATGCCTTAATTGCCTTAAGACAGAATTCCACTATTTTATTATGCTTTATGGAAGAAAAAATAGAAAAAACTAGTATGCATACTAGGCACGATGCCATGCACCATGGTGTATGGCATCGTGCCTTAAGGTAAATTGCTGGAACTTCCCGTAGTACCGTAATGAAATATTCGAGAAATTTTAAATGTTTTCAAATATATTATTACAAATACTGTAACTTTCATTATTTTTGCATCTTGTTAAATCTGAGCAAATCAAATGTAAATCATAAATCATAAATCAATTTATCTCTATAACATTAACAACAATCGTCATTTCATTTCGAATTCAATTAAAAAAAAAATAGTTGCCTAATTTACACAAAATTGAAAAAGTGCTTTATAGTCACAGTCTAAACGCATTTGCAAATAATTTTGTGCGACATGTTCACTTATACTGTGCTTAGCTTGGCGGCATTTTCACATTTTTCAATAGTTTTCACAAAATTGGAAAAGTGCTCCAGTAGAAAAACAGTCTAAACGCACTTGGGTAAACATTTGTACCAGAGTGGCGCTTAGACTGTACTTAGGTGGGGTGATTTTTTGAATTAATGTATACCATTGGAAAGCAAATTTTATTAACTATACAAAACCCTAATTCAATCGTTAACAATTCTTACAAAAATATTGTGTGAAAAATATTTTCTCAAAAAAGTGCACTTTCTTTACATGTGTTAAACACAAATATATTTATGCATATATAAAATTCTTATGTTAATTACTTACATTGATATTTTCCAATTAAATTTCAACTTTTTGTGCAATATTTTCATGTTTTCAGTAACTTTAAACAGTTCATTTTTAGAAACATTGAAAACTATCAAGTTATTCCTTTCTTCCTGATTATTCATAAAATCCTGCAAAAACATAATTAACCAATTAAACACATATCACTATATATATAAATATATTTTTTACCATCGTAGGTGCCATTATTTATTTATATTAAACCAATTTTCTTTTGTTTTTAATAATTCGTAAAGAAATTAAATTAAATGTTTTTTTGTTTACTTTTGGGGTTGCCATGGAGGAAACAGAAATGTAAAAATTGACAGTTGACAGGATAAAGAACTTTTAAAAACTTGTATTTGTTTTAATTAAATATATATTTATATTATATTATTATTTATATTATATTTGTCTTTGGCAAAATATAAACATTTTTGTCAATAAAATAAAAATATTTATATTTTAATTTGACAACAAACTTAACCCCAAAAAATGTGTCCTGACATAATGTAAATATTTGGTTTTAACATAATAAAAACTTTAATAATTTATTAAAGTACACAATATATAAATACTTTAATATGTTGAGACATCTGGGCAAGTCTAATTCATACAACAAATATCTAAAACTAATTTTGGTAATATTGTGTAAATATATTTGTAAATATAGGTTAATAACTTTATTTGAAACTTGTAGGATAATCAAATAAAAAGTAACAAACAGGATAAATGGATTTTTGTAGTCTGTCGAGGTATTTGTATATATATAATCTGAATAAATAATTGTGAATATAAATAATACTATTGTTTTCATATAAAGTATATACCTAACCTTAAATAATTGCTTGTTTTTATTTCATGATTTTCTTATTAATTGCTATATATTTTTCAAGGTGTACACAATCAAAAATGGTTACAACAAAATAAAAGTGCTCCTGAAGCATCTTTAACCAAATTTGATAGAGAGATTACAGATAGTAGATGCTCAAAAGTAAGTTTAAAGATTATATTGACATAAAGACTTCAGAATTATTGAATTCAAACGTCAAGTAATGAGGTACCATCAAAAAGATTACAAAGAAACCTCTATAAAGGCTTTTAGAATAATGATATTCCATTTCTTATAATTCCTTTCCTCCTCAGTTCACAACTCGATCCCACACTTGTGGAGAACTAGGAGTCCAAAATGTAGGACAAAATGTCACCTTATACGGATGGTTAGAGTTTCAAAGAATGAATAAATTTTTTACACTACGAGATGCTTATGGTATAACACAAATAATCGTACCTGAAGCTGTACAGCATAAGTTTTTAACTTTAGATAATATTCCTTTTGAAAGTATTTTGAGAATTACTGGTGTAGTAGCTCGGAGACCTGAGGCAATGGTGAATCCTAAACAGAAAACCGGGGAAATAGAAGTAAGGAAGATTATAATAATATATATAAATATATGCATATATATATATATATATATATATATATATATATATATATATATATATACATATATCATTTACAATGCAGGTTGTTATGGAGTCTTTAGAAGTCATTAATGAAGTTAAAGAAAAACTACCATTTGACATTCGTAGTTTTAACAAAGCCAAAGAACATATAAGAATGAAGCACAGATATTTAGATTTACGCTTCCCTGAAATGCAGCATAATTTAAGGCTGCGTTCACAAATGTTAATGAACATGAGAAAATATCTTATTGACACACAAGCATTTGTTGAAGTTGAGACTCCTACATTATTTAGAAGAACACCAGGAGGTGCTCAAGAATTTATAGTTCCAACAAGAAACCCAGGAGAATTTTATTCACTTGTTCAAAGTCCACAACAATTCAAACAAATGCTTATGGCTGGTGGAGTTGATAGATACTTTCAATTTGCAAGATGCTACAGGTGAATAAACACAAAGTTTTATATTATATATTTATATAAAAAGATTTTCTTACCAGAGATGAAGGATCTAGACCGGATCGCCAACCGGAGTTCACACAACTGGATATTGAGTTATCATATCCAAAACAAGATTCTATTCTTACACTTGTTGAAGAATTGCTTTATAATTCTTGGCCAATGGATAAAGATGGGATTGAAATTCCTTTTCCAAGAATGTCATACACAGAAGCTATGCATAGGTTTGGAAGTGATAAACCTGATATAAGATTTGGATTAGAAGTATGTAACATAATATATAGTAATCCTGTTTAATTCTTAATAAAACTTTTCAATAATACTTTAAATTCAACTTTACAACTGAAGTTTTTCACTACTGTCCGCGCCATTTTTATAATTCTACTACAACCAACTTCATACTTGTTGTTTGTTTGCACCGACGACCGTTACATTCAAATTCAAAAATCTTATTATATATACATTTTTATACACTTATAACTTTATTTCCATTCCAGCTATCCAATATTACCAGTTTAGTATCAATAAATAGCACAAATGTACATGATTTTGCTTGCTATATGATAAAAATACCAACTCCTCAAGCCAGTCTTACAAAATCAATAAAAACTACTTTAAATGAACTTGCTAAAAAGTATCCAGATGTAAAATTTATTCAAACTATCATATCTCCAGATTGGAGTACTTCAAAATTATCAAATATATTCGGTGAAGATGTTTTAAAAAGGATTCAATTTGAACAGAATTTGGGTATTGATGATGTTGTATTTATTGCCTATGGGGATAAAACAAGAACAGTAAGTGCTGTAATATATATACATATATAAAGGACATCATATGTTTTATGATTTGTGTTTTTTCAGCAAACACTATTAGGTAAAGTTCGAGTTTTGTACAAAGAACTTTTAGAAGCTAATAAAATCAGCATACCTGCACGTACAAAAAGTAAATTCAACTTTTTATGGATAACTGATTTCCCTTTATTCACACTGGAAACTGATGAAGAAACTTCTACTTCATTATCTTCTACACATCATCCGTTCACTGCACCACATCCTGAAGACTTCCATAAATTAGAAACAGAACCCTTAAATGTACTAATAATTTTTTCACACCATTAATATACATAAATATATCAATCCTTTTATTATTTAGGTTAGAAGTCAAGCGTATGATTTAGTACTGAATGGTGCAGAAGTTGCAGGAGGTTCAATTCGTATTCATGATCCAATTTTGCAAAAAAGGATACTGGAAGACTTTTTAAAAATTGATCATTCGCATTTGGAGCATTTGTTAAGTGCCTTGGCAAGTGGGTGTCCTCCTCACGGGGGCATAGCCCTAGGTAATAAATAGAAATATATATATATATTTATATATATATATATAAATATATATATATATATATATGGTTTACATTTATTTATGTATTTTTGTTCTCTCTTTAGGTATTGATCGTTTGATTTCAATTATTTGTGAAACAACAACCATTCGTGATGTAATAGCTTTTCCCAAGACTGTCGATGGTAGAGATCCACTTTCTGGTGCTCCTGTAGAATTAAATAAAGATGAGAAAGCCTTGTACCATATACAAAGTATTATGGAAGAGAAATGATATAAAATATAAGAATTTTTAATAGTAAATTGTGTATTATTTGTATTTTTATCAAAGAAGGCTTTAATTTTTATAGATCAGATCTGATTTTTTTTAAATGTTATATATACTAAAAATTAATATATGCTTATTTTATTATATCCATTTAAACTTATTTTAATTATTTACATAATTTGGTAAACTTATACTAAATACTTATTTGGTTACAAAAATACTATATAATTTTGATTAATCATTTAATTTAAGTTGCATTTAAGCATATAATTACAATTATAAACTTCTTATTTATTATTCAAATTTAAAAATACAAAAATTAAATGGTTTATTTTTCATTTTTCAATCAATTTCAAATTTAGCGCGTTTTTATATGTGACATGTTTGTCGCAAACTTCTGTGTAGTCCGCCATTTCTATATAAAGTAACAATCAGTAAAAATTCGTCAAATATTTTATTAATTATGTGGTGTTTAATGTGACTTAGTGGTTTTAAAATAGCATAAATACATTAATAATCATATAGACAATATTTACCTGATAATAGATTTTACAAGTCGCACAAGATGGTAAGTTAAATTCTTATTAAAGTGGTTGCCGCTAACCTAAAACACTTCATGAAAATATATCAATCATGTACAAAAACATGCTTTTTATGTATATATTTATCATTTTCTATTATTTTAGACGATCGGTAAAAACAATAAGATGCTCCAGCATCTTAACTACCGCGTAAGAATAATCCTGCAAGACTCTAGAACGTTTATAGGCACGTTCAAAGCCTTTGACAAACACATGAATCTAATTTTGGGAGATTGTGAAGAATTCAGAAAAATTAGACCGAAAACTAATAAACAAGTGGAAAAAGAGGAGAAAAGAACACTGGGCTTCGTTTTGTTACGAGGTGAAAACATAGTTTCATTGACAATTGAAGGACCACCACCTCCAGAGGAAGGTTTACCGAGGGTACCAATTCCTGGGGGTGCTCCTGGACCTGGAATGGGACGTGCTGCAGGGAGAGGAATGCCTGCAAATATTAGCGGGGTACCAGCAGGTAAGGAAATAATAATAATTCACAACAAAGTTTTAAATTTCTTACATGTTTTTATCTAATTTTTTTCCCCCAGGGCTTCAAGGTCCAGTTCGAGGCATTGGCGGTCCTTCCCAGCAACATATGACCCCAGCAGGCAGAAGTCAAGTATCTGCTCCACCTCAATTGCGTGCGATGCCCCCAGGCGGTCCAATGATGGGAGGACCTCCTCCAGGAATGATGGGTATGCCCCCGAATATGATGATGGGCAGAGGAGGACCTCCGCCAATGGGTGTTATGAGAGGGCCACCACCGGGCATGATGCGTGGACCACCACCAAGAGGAGGTGGATTTTAAATATTAATTTGCTGCTGGATGATTGATTTGTTTTAATATAATTTGGATATTTTTGTATTGTGTTTTACACAAGAATAATTTTGTACTAATTTTTAAGATCTTAGATTAGAATATATCATTTAAATAAAACTTGATGGTATTTTAATTGTACATTTATTAACTTATACTTAAATAGAACATTTTAAATTATAAAAATTAGTAAATCTTATATAAAAATATCTTAAAATAAGAAATATATCTGGTTTATGTCTATGTGGTTCCTTCATCATAAGTCGGCAGCCAAAATGCCATATTAGTACAAGCTGAAGCCAACATCATGAATTTTGGATTAAACTTTACGCATTGAATAGGTGCAGGGTGATCTCCGTTCAATACACAAACTTTATATCCTGTATCAGCATTCCAAACATGTACCCGTCCATCAGTCGAACCACTAAATATAAACTGTGAATCTGGGCTATATGAAGCCTCTATTGGAATCCCTTTATTATTCAAGTGTCCAGTAAAAGTTTGCAAAGGTGTACCATGGAAAGCATCAATTAAACGAATCATGGATCCATTCGTACTGATCAGAATAGTTTTTCCATCCCTGGAGAATTTGAGACCAGTCCAATCACACTCACGTTCATGGTTTAACTTGAAAGTTACAAAAGGACCTTTGTCAAAGGATCGAAGATCATATAGTTTTATGCTTTCTGAGTTTACACCTGCAGCAAATACTAATCCTTCAGGGTCAAATGCTGCAACAGGCCTACCGGATAGATGCATCAAACCTTGACAGTTGGGTGATCGTAAATCCCATAGCCTGAGTGTTTTATCCAAAGAGCCTGACAGAAAAGTGTCTTCTATAGGTGACAAGCATAAAGACACGACTTTTTTGGTGTGTCCTGGAAAGTAACGAATGTACTTGTTGTCGTGCAAGGATAGATAACGTATCGTATCATCAACTTTTGGTGGAACTGTGTATGGCGGTGTTCTTGGCGTGAGTGAAATGAATTAAGTCTACTCCATATTTTTTGCTATTAACAGTACGCATTTGAGTTCCCTTCTCGCAATCGTATATAACGATTTGATCATCTTCACTGCAAGATATTAGCGTTTCACCATTAGACGAAAAGTCTATACTGTTGATTTTATCGGTGTTCTCTCTGAAAACTTTAGCTACTTTGAAGCTCCTAACTACCGGGTCAATCAGCTTCATAATGATAGTCATTAATGAACTTTAACTTTGTAATTATATAAAAATATTCTTAAAATATCTTTAGATAATTTTATGGTTAAGTTTCGTTGTTTGTTTGACAACCGACGATTTTGGCTCTCTTGGAAAATTGATGAATTAAAGATGGAAACATAAGGGTCGTGCACACTATAGATTTTTGTAAGGTATAAATATTATATTAAAATTAAGCTTTATACATATTTTTATGCAAAAAAACGAATTAATACAATAGTAAATCTATATAATTGCCAATATTTAACTTTTTTATACTATAATTCTCAGGTAATTCTAATACTAATATTATGGTGACAAAAATAAACATGAGCGCTTATCCTAGTGCTCTCACGAAATGTTTTGAAATATAAATATATATAATAATTTAAAAATGTTTATTAAACAACTATTAAAGCCTTTATTTCCCAAATTCATCAACCACAAAATCCTATCTCCAATCTCGACCTCCTCTACAAGTTTCGCAGAGACTCATTTTGGTTACCAAACAGTCGACGAAAATGAAAAGGCTCAAAAAGTCTACACAGTATTCGAGCAAGTAGCAAATTCTTACGATTTAATGAACGATGCAATGTCTTTAGGAATACACCGTTTGTGGAAAGATAAATTTGTAGAAAAACTAGGACCTATGCATGGTACTAACCTATTGGACGTTGCTGGAGGAACAGGTGACATATCATTCAGAGTGTTAAAATATTTATTAAACACTGAGAATTGTATGAATAAAAATAGCCAATACTGTTTGTGATATAAACCAGCACATGTTAGATGTTGGTAAGAAACGGTTTGAGGAATTGAATATAAAACAAGATTCTGTTACCCTTGATTGGGTTTGTGGAGACGCAGAGAAATTGTGCTTTGAAGACAATACTTTCTCGGCTTATACTATAGCATTTGGTATCAGGAATGTAACACATATAGATAAAGCTTTGAAAGAAGCTTATCGAGTGCTGAAACCAGGTGGTAGATTTATGTGTCTAGAATTTAGCCACTTGGATAACAAAGTGTTGCAACAAATTTATGACAAGTACTCATTTGAGGTTATACCTCCTATGGGACAAATTCTTGCAGGACAGTGGCAACCATATCAATACTTGGTTGAAAGTATACGTAAATTTCCACCACAAGAAGAGTTTAAAGATATGATACGAGCAGCAGGTTTTTTAGAAGTTACTTTTGAAAATTTAACACTAGGCGTGTGCAGTATTCATTCAGGTTTCAAATTATAATAAATATAATATATATATTGTTACTTAAATTTATTTATAAATACACAAATCCTTTATGAAATTATTTCTTTATTATCTCCATTTTCAAATGATGACTTTTAGCCATGTGTACTTTAAGTTTGTATTGTATATAGAATCCTTTATTGCACAATGAGCATTTAAATGGTGTCTCGCCTGTGTGTGCCATTTGATGATACCTCAAGCCTTCCCTCAAAGCAAATCTTTTATCACACATATCACAAGCATATCTCCTCTCACCAGAATGAGTAAACGAGTGGGTCCTGAGGTGGGTTTGTTGGCTGAAGGATTTTAGACACACCTGTAAAAGGTAAAACATTAATAATGTACCCTTGAGACAAATGTTGTTGTTGTTTATTACTTTGCATTGATAAGGTCGTTCCCCTGTGTGTGTCCTTTCATGTATTTTAAGTCCTATTTGTTGTGAGAACCGTTTGGGACAATGTGGACAAATATAAGGCTTTTCACCGGTATGTATTCGTTCATGATTTTCTAAACCAGCTTTGTGATGAAAGGCACGACCACAATGCCTGCACAAATGTTCTCTAACGTTATTGTGTATTTTCATGTGCATGTTTAAAGCTGCAGTTGAACTTAACATTTTATTGCAAATAGTGCATGTTTGGGGCTTTGGTTTAGAGAACCTCGGTTTGACACTGTTTAAGGTTCCAATGTTATGTTCTATTACCATATGCATTGATAATTCATTTCTACGTAAATTTGTGAAGTCACAAAGCTTACAATTGTATTCTTTAATATTCTTGGCATGGAATATATCTAAGTGTTCTTTTAAAGTACTAGATCGTGAAAATTTCTTACCACACAAGTGACAAGCGTGTGGTTTGATACCCTGGTGGATTAGAGCGTGACGTTTCATGTTACCGGCATGAGAGAACACTTTATGACAAATTTTACACTCAGTACTACTTTCTTGTTTGGAAACTTTTTTCCTAGCCGTCTTAGTACTTTTTTTCTACCAGATTTTTGTTTTTTAATAGGCAGTAAATCTGGAATTTGTGGTTTTTCTGTTACTTTTTGCTCAGGCTCAGGTTCAGGTTGAGGTTCAGGTTCATATTGTACTAAACTGTCATCAGCTTCGATTTCTTCTATTGTATCACTATAAGCGTATATAATTTCAAATTGTTCTGATACTGTTTTTTCTGCTAGTTCTTCTTCCTTTACACTAATTGCTACTTCATCTTTGACTGTTGGACTTACTACAATTATTTCTTCGTCTTTAACAGTTTCAGGTTCAAATTCTACACTGTCTACACCTATATCATAATTTCTAAGAAAAACATCAGAGGTTTCACATAGCTGTTTGAATTCATAAGAGCTATTGAGTTTTTGCATACAACTTGTACATATATTGTCAGGCAAACCATCATCTTTGGAAATCTATAGAAAAAACATGATTAATAAACAAATAAAACACTTACAGTACTGATACAATTGCAAGACTAACTTTAATAACAGTACAAGCCATTATTGTATTACATATAGTGTCTGATGAATCGTGAATTGGTAGTAAATCATTTGTTATTTGTAAACATAAACGACAAATCTTTGAATATATTTCTTTCATTATTCACTTTTTCTTTCTAAACATATAATTCAATTCAAACAAATGAAATGTCAATGAAAATTGAATTGAAAGGTGCTTCACTGTTGACGCAATATTTAATATCGATACTGTCGACGAGAGTATCGATAATTTGTACAAAATTTAAAAAATGGCGGAAAAAATTAAAAAAAAAATATTTGGAGATATTATACGTGCAATAAACTATATTATAAGTTTTATATTAATTTTATACATATGGTATAGATATAAGTATAGAAAATATGTTTTAAGAATACCCCTATTTACATTACTAACTTTAATTTAATTTCTATAACAAACGATTGTATAATATATCTATTCATATAATATATTTATTTTGTAGAAAATGCATATAAACATTGATATAGCAACTGATTTTCTGTATATTTAAGTATATATTTGTAAATAAACAAATTTTTACTTGAAAATTTTAAATACATGTGTAAATCTATGTTAAAGTTAATTTATAAATCTATTTATATATATATATATATATATATATATATATATATTTATTTATAATGTATATTTAAAGTTATTATATTAATAATTTTGTGTATAAGTAAATATGATTAACATGTATCTTTTATCATTTTGGTTTATTATTTTAAGTTTCCCGCGTTTCCCAGTATACTATTTTGAATATGTGCACCTGGCAACACTTAAATATTTGTATACATATTTTGACATTTCATCACAAATTTGACATTTCTGTATTATTGTTAAACATTTAATTTTATTATCTACTAAGATCGCATAAAATCTAAATAAAAATGCATACAAGCAATGCGAATAACGAAATTTGTCGATTATGTTTAAAAATAATAGAAAATACAATACCAATATTTTCAAAAGACTCAAAAATATGCGATGCAATTATGCGTTGCACTTTAGTTCAGGTATTTTTATAATAAATATTTAAAAATATATATATTACATGTGTATATTATTATTTAGGTTTCGGAGCACGATGAGTATCCACAAGTGATTTGTCCCGAGTGTGATAAACGTTTACAAGATGCTTTTGAATTCAAATTAATGTGTGAAAAGTCTGATGAGATACTGAGAACCAAAAAAGCAACTAATGAGTCTTTATTATCTTTAATAAAAGAAGAACAAAGTGCATTTGATGCTGAAATATATGCTAAATCTGAGCCTGAAGATATTTGCTATGATGACAATGATGATGAACAGTTGAATGATTCAGTTCGGAGCGATAATGTACAATATAAAAGGAAAGTTAGAAGCAGATCGGGAAAAGGGAGTTATAAAAAGAAAACTAAACACAAATGTGGCTATTGCAGTGTAGAGACCAAGACAACAGAGGATTTAAATAAGCATAAACTGACACATTTGCCCCCGTATATATGTAGATTTTGTAAAAAAGAATTTTCCTCTATAAACTTCTTAATAAATCATGAAAAAACACATGCAAGTGATGATCCAGAATTACAATGCAAGGTAGTAATTGTTATACAATACTACTTTTCTTGTTTATTTTGCACTTTTATTTTTTGCAGATTTGTAATAAAAAGTTTGTAACACGTGCAAGATTGTCTGTACACATGGATATACATACTGGTGCTAATATTGTTGAATGTGATATTTGTTTTAAGAAAATTTCAAACAAGAATTTAAAACGTCATATGTTAATTCATTCTGGAGATAAACCCTATCCTTGCACAATATGTGACAGTGCTTTCACACGTTCAGCATTTTTAATGTAAGGCAGAATATATCAATAAATAATTACACAAATTGTAATACACTATTTTCATCTTCTAGGGTTCATATGGACAAACACCGTGACCCCAACGATCCCCATAAATGTCCTTTATGTAATTACACTACCCCAAAAATTAACAGTTTGTGGAAACACAAAGCTTTATGCAATCCGTTGTCTAAAAAATTAAAACATGGTTCACCAGGAAACGGTACAAAAAAGACAAGTACTCAAAAACTACAACAATTTCTTTGCAACTACTGTGGCAAAGTGTTTTCAACAAAAACTGGTTTATCAGTTCATGAATTAATGCATACTGATGAAAAGCCACATATTTGCAAAATTTGTAATAAAGGATTCAGATTGAAAATTGCTTTGATTAGACATGAGAGAATACATTCAGGCGAAAAGCCTTATCAATGCAAGGTAGTAAATACATACTTCAAATCCATTCCACAAGTTTATTATAACTTTTTTTTTGTTTAGGTTTGTCAAAAGAGTTTTAACCAAGATACACATCTGAGAAAGCACATGGTGCTTCATACTGGGATCAAGAAGTTTTCTTGTAATTTGTGTAATAAGGCTTTCGCACATAAAGATGCTCTTCAGTATCACACAATGACACACACTGGCGAAAAGCCATATTTATGTTCTATTTGTAATAAAGGCTTCTATATTAGGTATAGATTAAAAGTACATTTGTCTAAGACTCATAGTATATCTATTGAAACTGCACAAATAAATAAAAAGAAATGAAAAGGAAAAGTTGTTTTAATAATAAATGATAAGTAGATATATTACTTAAAAGATAAGACTTATTTCATTACAAAAAGATAAAGTTCTTATGAATATATTTTTTTTGTATTAGATTTTACTGGAAATCCGGCTCGAAGGACCAATGTTTTTTTGTATTTGATTTTACTGGATATCAAATCCGGCTCGAAGGACCAATGCTTTCTGTATTAGATTTTACTGGATGTCGAATCCGGCTCGAAGGACCAATGTTTACAGTATTAGATTTTACTGAATGTCAAATCCGGCTCGTCTGGACCAATGTTTTTTTGGTGTTTGATTAATTGAATTTGGAAGAACCAATTTGTTGTAAAATACTTTGATTATAACTTTATGTTTATTTTATATTAATTACAAGTTATATTTGTATTTACAATATATTTATGTTTAATAGGACAGTAATTATAATTTATTTATGTGATTGAAATATTAGAAAGTAAATTTTGTTTCATAAAATTTATTTGAATTTAATGTCCTTTTGTATTAATTTTCATATGTTACCCTCTCTTTTTATATTCCCTATGGTTTTCAATTCTGACAGCTGAACTGTCAAACTGACAGCTATGCAGTATATTTTGACAGCTGTGAATTAGGTGAAGAGATTAAAATTTTGCCAAAACATCAATCGTATTCAACAATTCTATAAATGGTATTTAATATTCACATAATAAAATTCATTCCGAATAACCACATAATTAAAATAAACACGTCCTCGTCAGAAATGATAATACCTAAAATGGCATCTGCTAATTGTAATATAAACATGTCAAGAATAACAGTAAATAAATATTTTGTCTAATAATTTATTCATAACTAAATATATAATTAAATGTCGATAGTGATAAAAAGTTCGAACAAAAATATACAAAATGCAGAACATGTTTGCTAAAAAATCACACCAGGATGTTAAAAAATCTATTAGTAAAATACAGGATATTAAAAAGGACTCTGTGACGAGGTTGAAACATTTAAAAATCATCTTGGGTGAGAAAAATAACTATTTTATAATTTATATCAATATATAATTATATATATTTTAATTTCTGGTAACTAAATGTCTATATAAATATTATTTGAGCATTCATTTAGTTATAGAAATTATATTTAAATTCAATTGCACAATTCCATATAAGTTATTTTTCATATTAACATAATATAGAAAATATTATGGTAATCTTTTTGTTTGGTTATTGAAATTAACATCATTGTGTTACATTATTTACATATAATATTTATAAATCTATGTATATATATATATATATATATATATATATATATATATGCATATATATGTATATATATCCTTTACAGAACATGTAGATATTGACGAAGCAAAATCTCTATTCGAAGCTAATTACAGTCATGTCTATTACATCCTTTACGACAGTTTTGTTCAAGCAGAAACAAATCTACGTCAAAGAGGTTAGTATTATAAATCAAGTAATTTAAGTCAGTTATATTAAATTTGTAATGTTTAAATTTTTAGTTCAAAAAGCGCACAAAGAAGAACTAGAAAATGCACTATGGTTAATGCGCAGAGTGATTTGTTTTTTACCAGAATTATTGTCAAGGGGATGGCAAGCTCATTCCCTTGGCAGACTTTTGAGTAAAGTATTGCATCCTGCTAACAACCAGAAATTATGGAGCGAAGGAGTCAGGTAATAATAGATAGATAATAGATAATTAGGTTGTAATGATATGCTGATTGTTTGTAATTTTTTAGGTTATTTTTATTATGGTATCAGCGTTAGGTGATAATGCTCCAGCTATGGTGCATAGTATGTACGCTAGTTTAGTACCAGGTTTAGGCTCAGCAATAATTGGTGACACCAAAAACATCAACGCATCTCCTGAGCTTGAATTTAATCCTACAGAGTTGTTACACCATCCTAACTTTACACTGCAGAAAAACAGTGGTTAGTAATAATATATATTTAACAATATATATTTAACAATGGTTATACTCCTAATTTGTAATTATTGCAGGTGCTTCAGTCTTCCACGATACTGCATCGTCTCCTGTCCATTCCCTGGATATTTTACCATTAATTCCATGCACCGGCCAAGAACGAGCTCAACACCAACCTCATGTTTTTCTGGATCTAGTTTTGGATTGTATGGTTCAAGCGTCAGCTTGTCTTGTGTGGAGGGAAAAATGTGCACAAAAACATGCTAACGGTTTCAGTTTCCTCCTGGACAGGTTCAGGAAGATTTATTTGCCTATCATATGTCCGGATTATGATAAAAGGCATTCATTGTATGAACCTGTACTGGGTAAGATTGAATTTGAAACATTGTAATAGATATTTTACTTGTTTGCTATAATTTTTTGGTTTGTTTGTAGATTTACCAGAAATCCGGCAAGTTAACAAAAAAGATGAACAATTATCCTTGTGCAGAGTGGTTTTGATCAAGTGGATTGTTTCTTATACGCATGATATGAAGAAGATTGATAAACCTCCAGTTCAACCACAGGTAACTTTTAAGTAATTTTTATTGTTGATGCATTCAATTCTTACTTTATTAGTGTTTATCAGCCTAAACTTGACATACCTATTTTATTTGACCATAATGATAGAATCATGATAGATATAGGTGAAATTGATTCTAGTACTGTGCAACTTGCAATAGCAAGTTTAAAGAACTCTTTATACGTGATCGCTCATCTGCTCTATCTGATGCACTTGCATTTTTATTTAATCTATCATTGTGTACAAACACTTTTCCAAATAGTTGGTAAATTGCACAATTAGTACCAACTTTTAAACAAGGTGATACATCAAACATTACTAATTACAGGCCGATACCACTATTATCAAACTTTGCTAAGGTATTTGAAAAAAATATTTATAGAGAACTAATTCCTTCTGTTAGAACTTTAATCTATCTACTAATCAACATGGATTCATACATCATACAAATATAATCTGTATTAAACAATATATAACTGAGAATCTTGACACTAATGGACAAGTTGATGTTATTTACATTGACTTCAGTGATAAAAATTGATCATAACATTCTTCTTACTAAATTATCTAAGATTAGTCTTAATTCTTCACTTATTTTTTTTTTAAGAGTTATCTTCATAATCATAAACAGTTTGTCTATCTTAATGGATTCTTGAGCAATATTGAAAATATCAGTTTAGGTGTTCCTCAGGGATCCATTCTTGGTCTACTACTATTTATTATTTTTATTAATGACATCTTAAATTATTGGCTGTCCACATTTATTATTTGCAGATGATCTCAAACTATGTCTCAAAATAAATTCTATTGATGACTGCTTATTATTACAATCTCAACTTGACTCTTTCCACTCTTGGTGTATCTATAACAAACTACATTTAAATACACCTAAGTCTGCTTTTACACGGTCTTTTTGTACACGGTTTGAAAAATGAGTATTTTTAATTTTTTTACACGATTTTATTCCATTTAGCACGATTTGAAATTTTATGTACTTAATTTTTTTTGTCAAATTTAATTTTTGCGAAGTATGTTCATATAACAAAAAAGTATTTATGAAAGAAAAAAGTCTGAAACCATCGATAGTATCGATAGTTTGCGAATACTAGCTTAAAATTTTAAGTGAATTCCCCTTCAGCGCGTACAAACAATTTTTACTGGTCAAAGCAAATGTGAATAGCACTAATTTAGGGGAATACCCTAAAAATTCTTGTTTTTCACTAATTTTAATAAGTTTTAGAGATTAGGAACAAATCACCCATTTTTGTATAAGATCAATGTCTTTTTTTACACGTTTTTTTTTTACATGGCTTCTTCTGGAACCAATCTACCGTGTAAAAACATACTTAGGTGTATATCAAAGTGCAAAATTCTTAGTTTTTCACACAAGCGCGTTCTAATACATTCTGATTATAAAATCTCTAAAACCAGCATTGATAGATGTAATAAAATATTAGACTTAGGAGTTTTATTTGATTCTGGTTTGTTCTTCACTGATCATATAACTGATTTTTATAATAGAGCACATAAATCTTTAGGTTTGATACTGAGAAATTGTAAAGAATTCAATTCTAACAATGCACTTCCTTGCATGTACTATTCTAAAGTACGTTTAAAATTGGAATATGGTTCGATCATTTGGTATCCTCATCAAATCAAGAAGTCTGATGGGATAGAGAAGGTTCAGCGAAAATGTCTGAAATATCTTTATTCCAAAACATATAAAATTTACGCTGAACGTGGGTTTGATCACAACACTTTACTAAAAGAATTTGGTATTCCTTCTCTTGCCTCACGTCGATTTATCTGTACAATTATGTTCTTATTTAAACTTTGCAATAATTCTATAGACTGTCCTCTTATTCTTAACCAACTATCCTTTAATGTTCCAAGGCTCCTAAATCTAATTCTCTCTTAAATTCGCCTATTTTACTTATGTCCTCTAACTTTACCTTAATTAATAATGAAATAGACATTCACAACACATCACCTAATCAAATAATCTCCATCTGCACAAGTTAATCTTTTTATTTTCTTTCAAATATCTCATTATTTTATCTTATTCTGTTTATAAATAATATTGTTGCATTCTGCATTATATGTAATTTTATGTTAAGCATTTTATGTTGATAACTTTATATTGTAATCTTCTATATATATAAAAATAAGTCGGGTTTTCCTGCCTGACAAAATAACTCCAGAATGCACGAACCGATTTTGACAATTTTGCATTCGTTGGAAAGGTCTCGGGCTTCGCACGGTTTATAGCTAAGAAAATTAGTGGTGCATAGCATCGTGCCCTAATGCAAATTGCTAGAACTTTACGCACCGTAATTAAGAATTCGAGTAATGACATTAGTGAAAATTATTAGAATTATGCTTCGTTAAGTCAACGAGCAATTCTTGCCGCAAAGAATAATGATGTACACGCACTGAATTTCACCATTCAATCAAAAATTGCTGGCGATTTGGTGACATACCAATGATTCCGACTGGTCTTTCGTTTGACTTCAAACGATTGCAATTTCCAGTTCGCCTTGCGTTCGCAATAACAAGTCGCAAGGCCAATCGCTTAGTGTTTGCGGAATAAATTTCAAATAGATTATTTAGAAAATCATTGTTTTCCACATGGGCAGTTATACGTTGCCTGTTCACGAGTTGGAAAACCATCCGCTTTGTTTGTGTTAACGTCGGACCAAAAAACAAAAAATGTGGTTTACCAAAGAGCACTTCAATGAAACGGATAATTTGCGGATTCACTTTTATTTACTTAGAGAAGTTCAACTAAAAAACACTTCATTTTTGTAATCGGAATAAATTCATTACTGTTGTATGAAAAAATCAAAATTTTCCTTTTCAAATATAAAACAAACAAAAAATTTCTTCATCTTTCTTACGAAACCATCTGGTGGCGAAACGGAGTTCGTCGGTTTTGCTAGTTTTGTATATATTTTAATTGTTATTTATTATGTAAAATAATTGTATTTTTGAATCCTCTTGGAAGAAATCTGTGGGCTATATATTTAAAATAAATAAATAAATTACTAAAATGAGTCTACCTATTTCTTTTATTCCAGTCTTTACAATCAGAAGAGGAAAACTCACCGTCTCTAGACAGCATAGGATTAGTTCAAAACAGTGTGAATTTACAAAACAGCTCACAACTCGTCAGAGATGTCTTATTCGGCACCAGAGAAAACATCAATTTTATTCATGAGATATACAGACAAGCATTTCTGTTGAGTTTTACACAATCAGCAGCAATTAGGAAATCTATTGCTGTTTACAAGGACTGGATACAAATGACGGTAATTAGAAAAACAAATATTTTGTATCCAAAGTATTGTTATTATATTATATTTTATATTTAGGTACCAGATCCACCTCCATTTTTATTGGAACCGACAAAAAGTGATCTCGAACAAGAATCTCAAGACTTGAATTTAGCTATAAGGGCAGGATTGCAAGTAAGGAAAAAAATTAATTACACTTATTGAATTAAAAGTGTTAATAAAATATTCTTTCTATTTCAGAATGTTTTGCAAGTGTTTGTAACACAAGCAGCCAATGTGTTTCTACTAATTGTACCGGAAGATCAATTGCATTTATTAGAAGAACAGACTGATACTTGTAAACGAGTGCTGAATATTTATCGGTACATGGTTATGCATGTTCATATGGAGGCAGCTACTTGGTAAATAATAATAAATAAACTAGCTGTAAGTGGAATTCTGTCTTAAGGCAATTAAGGCATCGTGCCTTTAGGCAAATTGCTGGAACTTCCCGTACGAAAAATTATTATTTTTTCAAAAACGATTAACATTTTTGAAAAAATTTTTACTTTGAAAAAATAATAATTTTGAAAACTATAAATTGGACAAAAATTACTTTTTATTGAAAAAAAAATTAGCCGCGTCGCTGTCTAACGGATAAGCATTGGTACGGACCCATAGGAATGTAAACAAAATTTATACTTATTGTTAAATCTCTATAAAATATCTGATAACTTGATGTGCATATGTCTAATGATCATTTTGACCGTCGAATGGCATTTTTTTTATACTTTTTCATTAGATCTCCGAAACCGCTAGACCTGCCTTTTTGAAATTTGATCAATTCTTCATCTTGTCAATACAAGTGAAATGTTTTCAGAATTATTCAAATCGGACGCTCCGTTCTCTTAAAACTGAGTTACCGTTTTTGGCACTTTTTGCCCCATATCTTCGGAACGGCTAGACCTACCTCCGCTAAAAACTAATCAGCACGTCTTCTTATCAATACGAATCGAATGTTTTTTGAATTATTCTAATTGCTTCATCCGTGTTCCCGAAATCGTCGACGAAAATTTGTATCCGCACACACACACACACACATACACACACACATCCATTTTTTCTAAGGTATGCCAAAATGTTCAGAAACCTCTGAAACGTAAAAATATATAAAAAAATTTATTTTCGATTTTTTTGCGATTACTATAACTTACCATACGGGAAGTTAATAAATAAATAAATAAATAAATAAATATATATATATATATATATATATATATATTACAAGTATTTTATTATTTATAGGGAGCAATTACTTCTTGTTTTATTGCAAGTGACTTCTTTAGTTTTAACCAGGACAGACCCGAGAAGGAAAAATGACACTTTAGGTAACAATTTCTTACTTAAATAATTTTTTATTCTATTTAAAACATTTTTAAACTAGTTTTTAAATCTTTTTAAAGGTGGAACCTTAGCACAAGCCATTTTCCAAACACTAATCGTGACGTGGATCAAAGCTAATTTGAATGTGAGCATAAGTCCTGATTTGTGGGCTAAATTTTTATCAGTATTAACATCGCTCACACAGTGGGAGGAATTAATCAAAGAATGGGCGGTAAGTTATAGGGAAAACATTTAATTAATAATAATAATATAGCAATTTTTATTATCTGTGGATTTGGGTCCTATGTAATTTGTTTATTAGAAGTTATCCATTATGAAAATCTTAATAAAAATGAATCGCAAAATGTGTTGGTAAGCGCATAACTCAACAACGCCTGGACCAATTTGGCCAATTCTTCTTTTAAAATGTTCGTTGAAGTTCAAGGATGGTTCTTACGGCGAGAAAAAAATCCAATAATTGCCGGGAAAACCCTAAAAACAGCCCTTTTCGTTTTCTCATACAAACGTTTTCTAACTAAAACGTAGAATCAATTTGAGCTTTATTGCTATTATATAAAGTTCATATTAAATTACAAGCACTCACTGTATACTTCTTCTAAACGATTATGCGGATTTTGATCAATCTTTCTGAAGTTTGTTAAGGAAATTGTCTAGAATGTTTGTGATTATAAAGTACTGGGATTTATATGCAATATCGTAGAAATAAATGGAAAAAATTGTAAAAAACGACATGTCATTGTTTGAATTGAAAACAAATGAAAACTATCATCTGCCAAAAATTTCAATTTACTTATAAACCTAGACAATATTAGAATATGTATAATAAATTTATGATTATGAATAAGAAAAATGAAATGTCTATATTATTATTGTCAAAAAGCAGCTGAGATGTGCCAGAAATTAAAATAATATAAAATACAGTATATGTATGGCAGATTGAATGTTACACATATGAACAGCATATGACAAATTAATTTACTTGAAATATGAAATTAAGTAATAATCAAAAAATTAATCGAAAAATACGAGCGCACGCCCTAGGAGGCGCCAACACGAGATTCGGATATTAATTTTTCAATATAGTTTTTTTTCAATATATAAATTCTTTGCATCTTTTATTAATCTTTCCACAATATTTTTAAAATTCGTAAAATTTTCGCTTTATAACAACAAAGTAAAGTAAAGATGAATATATACAATTCGGCCTTCACGATATCGATTAGGAGAAGTTTAAGATGCAATTTTAGATATCATAAATAACAAAAAATTAAATTAACTTAATCCAACATGAAGTACTAGTGTTATGTTATGGTTATGTTATACCGCTTAGAAGACTTCAATTTCCAATAAAGTGTGGGGATTGAGACTCATCATTTTATTTAAAGCAGTTCTATATTTAACATCGCTCATATTATAAATGTATATGCAATTTGGCGTGAAGAGTAATTTAAAAAACAATAATTATTATTTTTAGGTAAACGGTAAATATTAGTATATTATATTAAAAAATTGTAGATATGGGTACAGGACAACGTCTGTCGGTTCATCTAGTTTTATATAAAACTCTGAATGTGTAGACTTTGTATATATCTCCGAAATTTTTTAACTGTTTATCTAAAAAAAATGAAATATTTGCTGAATTTGTTACCTAATTACTACTTACTTAACTAATTTGTTAATAAATTGATTTATTTATAAGTCAATCTACTTTTAAACCGATTTTGTTCAACATTTCTAATAAGGGTTCATCAATTCATCAACTTTTATATTTTTATATATTTTTTTTATTTATTTATTTGTATTTTGTTTTTTTTTTTCAGAAAACCATGGAGACTTTAACACGTGTATTGGCACGTCATGTATATTCCCTGGATTTGGCAGATTTGCCCTTGGACAGACTTTTGCAGGAACAAAAAAATGGTAAACGAGGAAGGAAACGAACAAGTGCAAGATGTGCTGTTAATGTTGGGAATGTTCCTACTCCTTCTGCACCCAGTAAGTAAAAAATAATTATAATTATATATATATATATATATATATATACACCTAAGTCTGTTTTTACACGGTAGATTGGTTCCAGAAGAAGCCGTGTAAAAAAAAGACATTGATCATATACAAAAATGGGTGATTTGTTCCTAATCTCTAAAACCTATTAAAATCAGTGAAAAACAAGAATTTTTAAGAAGAATTCATGTTTATTTTATTAAATCAAATATATAATTCTGATACTATCGATGGTTTCAGACTTTTTTCTTTCATAAATACTTTTTTGTGATATGAACATACTTCGCAAAAATTAAATTTGACAAAAAAAATTTAAGTACATAAAATTTCAAATCGTGCTAAATGGAATAAAATCGTGTAAAAATTAAAAATATTCAATTTTCAAACCGTGTTATATCAAAACCGTGTACAAAAGACCGTGTAAAAAAAGACTTAGGTGTATATATATATATATATATATATATATATATATATATATATATGTATAATTTAAAAATTGCTTTCGCTGAAGAATAAATTATATATTATTTCACCATCAATTTCAATTATAATGTCATACAATATTGTTGACTGTAATCATATATTGTTGATATTTACACTTAGACAACAATTCTTCAATTATACCTGTGCATATTTTTGTTTATTGTTGTATTTTCGAACATCCTCTGAAATATTACATACTTGCATTTAAGTTTCTTAAACTTTTTACACTAATTTTAATTATATTTTAATATTTCTATTTGAAATTTTCAAAAATTATGAAAAAACTGCAAAACTAATTTTATATATTATAAAATTGAAAATGTATGTGTTTGCAAAGTTATACGATTTTAAAGTTTGACGATTTTTTTCGGCATGTTTTTGTTCTAAAAGTTGAAAATTGGTAAATGCAGTTCTGTAGAGAATTGTATGAACTTTTTATCTGTATAAAATAATAATTATGTGTTTTAACTGGTTTTTGCACATTTTAAACAAATATTTTACTCGCAATATTATACGATTTTAAAGTTTGACGATATTTTCGTCATATTTTTGTTCCAAAACTTGAAAATTGATGAATGCAGTTATATAGAGAATTTTATGAACTTTTCATTTATATAAAATATCATTTATATATTTTAACAAGCTTTTCCACATTTTAAACAAATGCCAAAAAAAATGCACAAATATTTTGTTTGCAAAGTTATACGATTTCAAAGTTTGACGGCTTTTTTCGTCATGTTTTTGTTCCAAAACTTGAAAATTGATAAATTCACTTGTGTAGAGAATATTATGTACTTTTCATCAGTATAAAATAAAATTTATATATTTTAACAAGTTTTTGTACGTTTTAAAGAAATGCCAAAAAATGCATAAACATTTTGTTTGCAAAGTTATACGATTTCAAAGTTTGATGACTTTTTTCGTCGTTTTGTTGTTCCAAAACTTGATACTTGATAAATGTAGTTGTGTAGAGAATTTTATAAATTTTTTATCTGTATAAAATAAAATTTAAGGGTTCTAACAAATGTTTGCACATTTTAAACAAATGTGAAAAAACGTACAAACACTTTCTTTGCAAACTTAAACGATTTTAAAGTTTGACGACTTTTTTCGTCATGTTGTTTTTAGAAAACTTGAAACTTGATAAACGCAGTTCTCTAGAGAATTTTATGGACTTTTTATCAGTATATAATAAAATTTAAACTAACAAATGTTTGCACATTTTAAACAAATATGAAAAAACGTGCAAATATTTTACTCGCAATGTTATACGATTTTAAAGTTTGACGACTTTTTTCGTCATGTTTTTGTTCCAAAACTTGATACTTGATAAATGCAGTTGTGTAGAGAATTTTATTAGGTTTTTATCAGTATATAATAGAATTTAGGGGTTTTAACAACTTTTTGCACATTTTAAACGTGAAAAAACGTCTAAACATTTTGTTTGCAAATTAAATTATATTTTAATATTTGGATATGAAATTTCAAGAAAATAATAATCTTAACATTTTAAATTAATAGCAATAACAAATAGTCTATCTGTTGTATCAAAAATGTTATAGAAAAGTGTATAAACTTATATTACATTAAAATTAATTTCCAGGAAAGTGGATAATATAAAATTCGTTAAAGTGTTAGAATTTTTTATACTAAATTAGTTTCTTGGAAAAAGTGTTAGAAAATACACACATAAATCATGCAATATATATATATATATATATATATATATATATATATAGTTATTCATAATATTTATATATTGTTAGAAAATCCACAAAAATCATATACTAAATTCTGATACCCGGAATTAGTGTTTAAAATTTTTTTTTGATAATATTAGATACTAAATTCAATATTGAAAACAAATACAAATAATGTATTAATAATGATGTTAATACCCGAAAAAAAATCTTTTAAAAATCATATACTAAAATATTAATATAAGGTTGTCAAATATCTCCCTTCCGCCTTTTTGTATTATAAACCAAGAGCAAAAAAGCGGAAGGGAGATATTTGACAACCTAATATTAACAATATTAAAAAAAAATCTATTCTCGAGTTCGCTAACACTTGTTTTGAACAGGATATCAATTGTTTCTTCTTAAAGCTCTAATTTTATTATTTTACTAAAACTTTTATATATTGAGCGATAATTTTATTTTGATAAATTTAATCGACAGGGTTTTGTTTATGTTAATGTATGACTTTGTTTATGATATCTCAAAGAATGTTATTTTGGGAGTGATTCACAAAGAATATTTCCCATATTTTCTATTATTTACTGATTGAGAATCGGTCCATTATTATTTTTTAGTGAAATCAGACAATGAGAATACATATACAGAAGACGAGTGCGACTTTTTCAACAGTTCAACGAATGTTAGCAGACTGATGAGGAGCTATAGTGAAGGAAATTTGTCGAACATCAGGAAGTTGAAGACCACCAGGACGAGACATCATAGGAAAAATAGGCCTAGTGTTGAACATAATGTTCTGCACAGTTCTAACGATTGTACAGGTAATAGTAATAAATAATATAGTTGTTGTTATTAATTATTGACTTTCCGGAAGGCGAAGTTCACGTGTTTGTAAAGTTCAATGATTTTTTTCGTAATGTTTTTGTTCCAAAAGTTGAAAATCGGTAAATGCAGTTGTATAGAGAATTTTATAAGCTATCTATATAAAACACAGTTTTTGTATACTAACAAGTTTTTGCACATTTTAAACAAATATCGAAAAGCGTACAAACATTTTGTTCGCTGAGTTATACGATTTTATAGTTTGACGATTTTTTTCGTAATGTTTTTGTTCCAAAAGTTGCAAATTTGTAAAAGCAGTTGTGTAGAGAATTTTATAAGCTTTGTAACGATATAAAATAATAATTATGCGTTCTAACATTTTTTTCCACATTTGAAAAAACGTGCAAACCTTTTGCTGTTATACGATTTTAAAGTTTGACGATTTTTTTTGTCATGTTTTTGTTCCAAAAGTTGAAAATTGGTAAATGCAATTGAATATAGAATTTTATAAGCTTTTTATCTGTACAAAATAGTATTTATATATTTTAACAAGTTTTTGTACATTTTAATCAAATTATCAAAAAAGGTACGAACATTTTGTTTGCAAAGTTACATGATTTTAAAGTCTTTTTTTTCAAATTTATTTTATTTATTTATTTATATATTATTTTCATATCTCAGTCAGACAGGGGTATCTGGTATGAGAGATTATGAAACAATTTTCTTATTATATATATACATATCATTTGTCTATTTCATTATACTACAATATAATATTTATTATAATTAAAATATCTATTCAATCTTCAAATTCCTTATAATATTTCTTTATTTTTCTTTTAAATTTGTCGTCATCATTGGTCATCTTAAGTTTGACGATTTTTTTCACAATGTTTTTGTTTCAAAAGTTAAAATTTGGTAAATACAATTGTATTGAGAATTTCATACATTTTTATCTACATAAAATAAACTATATGTGTTTTAACTATTTTTGCACAATTTAAACTAGTGCCAAAAAATATACACACGTTTTGTTCGCAAATTCATACGATTTTAAAGTTTGACGATTTTTTTCTCAATGTTTTTGTTCCAAAACTTGAAAATTGCTATATGCAATTGAATAAAGAATTGTATAAGCTTTTTATCTGTATAAAACAAGATTCATGTTTTTTAACAAGTTTTTGCACATTTTAAACAAATGTCCGAAAACATACAAACATTTAGTTCGCCGTCTTATACAAATTTGACGATTTTTCTTCGCAATATTTTTGCACCAAAACTTGAAAATTGCTATATGCAATTGAATAAAGAATTTTATAAGCTTTTTATCTGTATAAAATAAAATACATGTATCTTAACAAGTTTTTGCACATTTTAAACAAATGCCAAAAAATACACAATCATTTTGCTCGCAATGCTAAACGATTTTAAAGTTTGACGATTTTTTCGTAATGTTTTTGTTCCAAAACTTGAAAATTGTTAAATACAGATGTGTAGATAATTTTATTAGCTTTTCAATTATATAAAATAATATTTATGTATTATTAAGATTTATAAATTAATCTTTAATTCCAAACGTTTCGACATTCAATACATGTCAATACATAAGCCTCGGAACTTGCAAAGTACAGAAGTCGTGGCAGAATTTACCTAACTATACTCACATTTTTGTTCAAATAAAATTATCATTTTTCTTTTTACATCATACAAAAAATTATAAAAAATGCATGGTGTTGACAAGTTAGTTGTATGAATGTTAGTGCTAATTTCTAGTGTTGTGTACACTTCTCTAGATGTAACCTACTAACGTTAATATCCACTGATGATGACATTAAATTGAATGTCGAAACGTTTGGAATTAAAGATTAATTCATAAATCTTTGCTTTTTATTCTTTGATGTATTGCCCCACAAGAACTTACTCATATAATAGGTTGTCAAATATCTCCCTTCCGCCTTTTTGTATTATAAACCAAGAGCAAAAAAGCGGAAGGGAGATATTTGACAACCTAATATCTCAACATCAAAATCATCAACTGAATCATATATATATATATATATATATATATATATATATATCACCGGTTCATATAAACTAAATCAAACAACGTTATCAACAACCTGTTGCTATTTTTAGTAAAACAAACACACACCGCCACGCATATACACCCAATCACACAATACATTTTCTAAAACCCAATAACTCTTAATCAATCACTTCTTCCCAATTTATCTTTTAGAATTATCATCAAACTCGGAAATATCTCCAGCAATCCACCACCATCAACCGAACCAGCATCTTCCACCAGTGGCTGGTTCAAGCACGTCTTCGGTTGCGATGACCTCGATCACTTTTTACCGAAATCCTTCACGACCAGGAATAGAACCACCAGGAGCTGGTCATCAGTTAAAAAGGGCTTTGAGTCTTGACAGTGGCCTGGTGTTTTGGAGAGATCGAACTGGACGAAGAGATGGTAATGATAGTGACAATAACACCAGGTCACCATCTCCTAGTCCTTCGAGTGGAGTTGATGGAGGATCGATAAAGGATTCGCCTATGCAGATTGATGTCTTGGGAGGAGATAATAGTTTAGGTATGATATTTTGATTAAGGGGCACGGGGTGATTTTAAATTGAATTTTAAATTTTTCTATATTTCGATACATTATACACCTAAGTCTGTTTTTACACTGACTTTTTGTACACGGTTTTGATATAACACGGTTTGAAAATTGAATATTTTTATTTTTTTTACACGATTTTATTCCATTTAGCACAATTTGAAATTTTATGTACTTAAATTTTTTTTGTCAAATTTAATTTTTGCGAAGTATGTTCATATAACAAACTAGTTGGTTTGGTATTTAGCCTTGAGGCAAATTACATGAACTTCCCGATATGTGTAAATAATCCACTTGATCAAAAAATGTGTAAATAATATACTTCATCAATCCTTACTTTAAAAAAAAAACGATAATAATTTTAGCAAAGTTTGACGAATTTTTAAAATTAAACTACTTGTTGTAAGGCCGTAATATTACAGTAAGTTCTATAAGACCATGATGTATATCGCCAAAAAAAGTTCGATGAAAAACGGCTTAAATTTTTTTTTAACAGTTAATTACAAAAAACGGCTCGGTAGATTTTCACCTAAAATTAATCAGTACCATTCCCATCTAATATCTTTCGAACAGTTTTGATTTTTCAAAATCGGTTCGGTAGATGAGCTTAAATGTGGACGAAAATTTAACACTTTTTTTCAACATTTAATTACAAGAAAACGGCTCTGTAGATTTTCACCTAAAATTAATCAGCATCATTCCCAAATGATATCTTTCGAACAGTTTTTGATTTTTCAAAATCGGTTCGGTAGGATGAGCTTAAATGTGGACGAAAATTTAACACTTTTTTCAACAGTTAATTACAAGAAAACGGCTCGGTAGATTTTCACCTAAAATTAATCAGCATCATTCCCAAATGATATCTTTCGAACAGTTTTTGATTTTTCAAAATCGGTTCGGTAGGATGAGCTTAAATGTTTACGAAAATTTAACACTTTTTTTCAACAGTTAATTACAAGAAAACGGCTCGGTAGATTTTCACCTAAAATTAATCAGCATCATTCCCAACTAATATCTTTCAAACAGTTTTTGATTTTTTAAAATCGGTTCGGTAGGATGAGCTTAAATGTGAACGAAAAGTTCAACACTTTTTTTCAAATTACGAAGAAACGGCTTGGCAGATCGTTGCACAAAACTGACAAACGATAGTCCTCACCGAAATACATCAATGGCTTTTAAATTTCTAAAATCGGTTCAGGCGTTTTTGAGAAAACGTCGATCAAAAGTCTAATTTTGACAAATGCCAAAAAGACCATACTGATTTTTGCAAACTATGACGAATTTTTTAAAGCTGAACCAGTTGTCGTAGGGCCGTAATATTTTAGTATGACCTAGAAAACTATGGTATCTTTCGTCAAAAAAATAATCATAATAATCGTCAATATTTTTTTTTTTAAAACTTCATTACAAGAAAACGGCCCGGCCGATCTTACCAAAAACTAATCAGCACGATTCCCAACCAATATCTATCGAACGGTTTTTGAATTTTCAGAATCGATTCAGAATTGCGGGCTAAAACGTGGACGAAAAATTTTTCACTTTTCTGCAATTTACAAAGAAACGGCCCGGCCCGATCGCCGCACAAAGCTCAGAGACGATAGTCCTCATCGAGATACATCAAATGGCTTTTAAATTTTGAAATCGGTCCAACCGTTTTGAGAAAACGTCGATTTACGGCAAAAAATCTGTTCACACACACACACACACATACACACACACACACACACACACACACACACACATACTTTTTCCAAATTTGGCCTCATTCGATTCAGAATGGCTCGAAACGTCGAGAAAACATAAAATTAGCGATTCGGATTTTTTGATGAAAACATAAACTTCTCCTTCGGGAAGTTAAAAAGTATTTATGAAAGAAAAAAGTCTGAAACCATCGATAGTATCGATAGTTACCTATTCTTTTCGTTCACAACACAGTTTTTTAGTCCTGAACTTGCCATACATTTAATTTATAATAGGTTGTCAAATATCTCCCTTCCGCCTTTTGTATATAAACCAAGAGCAAAAAAGCGGAAGGGAGATATTTGACAACCTAATATTACTTTTAGAATTAGAGTGCATATCTTTCTTATCATTAATTACTATGCTTGTGAAAATAAGCATTATATATTTGATTTAATAAAATAAACATGAATTCTTGTTCTTGAAAATTCTTGTTTTCACTAATTTTAATAGGTTTTAGAGATTAGGAACAAATCACCCATTTTGGATAAGATCAATGTCTTTTTTACACGGTTTTTTTACACGGCTTCTTCTGGAACCAATCTACCGTGTAAAAACAGACTCAGGTGTACTTTTAAAAATAACATACCGAAATTTTAAATCGATATCTTAAATAGTTTTTGAGTGACAGCCATTTAAAGAGTATATTTATAGTATATAGTATAACGATTATTTTATCTTTAAAAGCGTTTTTCTCGAAACAGCATTTTCCGAATTTGCTGCAGCGATTACTCAAAAACAAATGATTTGATCACTATCGATTTTTTACATGTTTTATATAGAGTTCTCCGTAATAATGAACTATCAAATTTTAATCTGATCAAAAATCGAATTTGGGCAGTCCAAAAACGACCAAAATGTTGGGGTAAAATCGACTTCTTTTTTCAAAAAACGCCGCCATTTTGTCAATTTCGATTTTTTTTTATTGTAGGTCATGTTACAAGACAATATTATCTAGTTTAACGAGAGTTTAACTTCCCCTAGGACAAGTTATAGTAATCGCAAAAGAATCTAAAATGAAAATATTTATATATCTTTACGTTTCAAAACCTTCTGAATATTTTGGCATACCTTAGAAAAAATGGATGTGTGTGTTGTGTGTGTTCGGATACAAATTTTCGTCGACGATTTCGGAACAACGATCAACCGATTTGAATAATTCAAAAAACTTCGTTTCGTATTGATAGGAGAGTACGTATTGTTAGTTTTTGGCGAAGGCAGGTCCAGCCATTCCGAAGATACGGGGCAAAAAGTGACGAAAACGGTAACTCAGTTTTTAAGAGATCGGAGCGTCCGAATTCAATAATTCAACAAACATTTCACTTGTATTGGCAAGATGAAGAATTGATCATATTTTCATGAGGGCAGGTCTAGCGGTTTCGGAGATCTAACGAAAAAAGTAAAAAAAAAATGCTATTTTACGGTCAAAAATGATCATTAGACATATGCACATCAAATTATCAGATACTTTATAGAGATTTTAACAATAAGTATAAATTTTGTTTACATTCCTATGGGTTCCGTACCAATGTTTACCCGTTAGACAGCGACGCGGCGCTTACGCGCTTTATATTTTGTCTCTATGCAGTTAAAGCAGTACGATTGCTTTGAAAAAAGTTCGGATCTTCCAAAATATGTCAAAATAAAGATTTTTTTTTTTTAATTTTTTTCCAAAAGAAGTAATTTTTTGTCCAATTTATAGTTTCTTAAGAATCTAATTTTTTCGAAATATTTGTTTTTGAAAAATGTTATTCGTTTTTAAAAAAATAATAATTTTTGATACGGGAAGTTCCAGCAATTTGCCTTAAGGCACGATGCCGTGCGCCCCACTAGTTTTTTTTAAATTTCATCCACGTAGAAGGCCGGAATCACTGCAGCAGTTAAGAGCCTTTTTTTTTGTCGCGCCGTTGAAGATCGACGATAACTTAAAAAATATTTAATTTTTTTCTTCAAAAATTTTACTATGTATTCTTAAAACATGTATAAATATACTCCTAAAATTTTGAAATGATTGATAAAGTATTTTTTTAATATAAATTCCCAAAAATCACCTTTTTTAGGCGGTTGCACTAGTTGTGCCCCTTAAATCCTGATTGGAAAGAGTCTGATTTCTTGTTTTGGTTTTTGGTTTTTAGATAATAGCGAATGCGATGGCCCAGAGCGTAGATCAGTGATATCTGGTGGTCAGGCTCGTGGATGGTTACCAGATGTGGCAGCTGTTCTTTGGTCCAGGATGTTGGGAGCTTTTGGGTAATGTTAATCATATCAGGAGTGCACATCTTCATGCGCAGCTTTTTGAGTACTTGGTTCATTTGATGGAAACTTTGATAAAGGTAAGGCAATTAAATAAACTAGTGGTGCATGGCATCGTGTCTTAAGGCAAATTGCTGGAACTTCCCAGTTGGATTTAGAAATTGATTTTTTAAAAAAAGATTCAATTTCACGTGTTCGAAAAGTTCAATGATTTTTTAACTTCCCGTAGGGTAAGTTATTGTAATGGGCCGAAAATCGGAATTGAAAATTTTTACATTTCTCGACGTTTTGAAGGTTTCTGAACGTTTTGGCATACCTCAGAAAAAATGGATGTGTGTGTGTGTGTGTTTAAAAAACATTCGATTCCTATTGATAGGGAAAAGAGCTGATTAGTTTTTGATGAAGGCAGGTCCAGCCGGTTCGGAGATACGGAGCAACGAGTGCAGAAAATAGAAAATCGACTTTTTGAGAGAACGGAGTATCCGATTTGAATGATCTAAAAAACATTCAATTAGTAATGATTGGAAGAAGGGGTTATTAGTTTTTTGCAAAGGCAGGCCCAGCCATTTCGGAGATACAGAGCTAAATGTACAAAAAATGGCAGTTTTTGAGAGAACTAAGCGTCCGATTCAATTGATTCAAAGAACTTTCTGCTTGTCTTAACAAAATAATTGATTTTGTAAAAAAAAATTTTTGTTCCTTTTTTTTTTTTTTTTTTTAATTTTTGTATATCGAAAATAATTCAGATTTTATTTTTAATTCTGACTATAGTTCTAATATCAGTCTATATAATTCTTATAAATATTAGACAATGTTACAATATTTATAATAATCTATTTGAAAACATTCAGTATTCCTCGAACATTTCGTTACTGTACGGGAAGTTTCAGCAATTTGCCTTAAGGCACGATGCCACCCACCCCACTAGTTTCGTAATGTTTTTGTTCCAAAAGTTGAAAATTGGTAGATGCAATTATATAAGCTTTTTAACTATATCAAATAAAATTTATATATTTTAACAAGTTTTTGCACTTTTTGAACAAACATCTAATAACGTGCAAACATTTTGCTCGCAGTTACTCGATTTTAAAGTTTGACGATTTTTTTCGCAATGTTTGTGTTCCAAAAGTTGGAATTTTGTAAATGCAGTTGTGTAGAGAATTTCATAAGCTTTGTAACGGTGTAAAATAATATATATTTGTATTAACAAATTTTTGGACAATTTAAACAAATATCGAAAAACGTACACGCATTTCGTTCGCTAAATTATACGATTTTAAAGTTTGATAATTTTTTTTATCATGTTTTTGTTCCAAAAGTTGAAAATTGGTAGGTGCAATTGAATAGAGAATTTTATGAGTTTTGTAACGATATAAAACAAGGCATGCCATCGTGCCTTAAGGCAAATTGCTAGAACATTGCGTACTGGCAATTGATTTTTTAAAAATAGATTCAATTTTCTTTTAGAACTCCGAAAAAAATCGATTTTTGAGATTTTTGAAATTTCGAAAAACATTGACCTTTTTGAAAAATTAGATTTCTTTAATTTGAAATACTTTGGGTATTTTAAACTTTTTTTTCAAAGCAATCGCGATACGTTAGCTGTGTAGATAGGAAATATCGAAGCGCGTAAGCGCCGCGTCTCTGGTTAACGGACAAACGACGTTACGGAACCCTTAGAAATGTAAAGAAAATTGATACACATTATTAAAATATCTATAAAATATGTGATAATTTAATGTGCATATGTCATTTTTAGCCGTCAAATGGATTTTTTTTTTTAATTTTTTTTACTAGATCTCCGAAACCGCTAAACCTGTTATCCCAAAAATTTAATCAGGACTTCATTTCGTCAATTCAAATAAAATGTTTTTTGAATTATTCAAATCGGACGCTCCGTTCTCTTAAAAACTGAGTTACCGTTTTTGGCACTTTTTACCCCATATCTTCGGAACGGCTAGACCTGCCTTTGGCAAAAACTAATCAGCACGTCTCCTTATCAATAGGAATCGAATAATTGAAATCGGTTGAACCGTTTTCCCGAAATCGTCGACGAAAATTTGTATCCGCATACACATACATACATCAATTTTTTCTGAGGTATGCCAAAATGTTCAGAAAGCTCTGAAACGTAAAAATATGCAAAAAATTTTAATTTCTTAATGAATAAAATTGTATCCTCACGTGTAGTACATCTATTTTTTCTAAAGTATGCTAAAATGTTCAGAAACCTTCGAAACTATATATATATAATATATATATATATATATATATATAATATATATATATATATATATATATATATAAAATTCATTTTCAATTTTTTTGCGATGACTATAACTTACTCCACGACAAGTTAATTCAATTCATATGTATAATGAATTTTGTTTGATTCTGTTTCCACAGATGAAAGAAAATATTGGTGTCCCTAACGATAAAATCACTGGTCCATCTATTCCTGATCTGGTGCCTCCAATAGGACTTTTGGCAGCTTGGTGCTACGATGCAATTGATTTGTTTCCAGAAAATCCAACTGGCAATAATAATCCTATACGATTGTTATGTTTAATTGCCAGACATGGTGGACCTATGTCGAAGGAACAACTTCCCATGTTTTACAGCACTTTACATAAAGGTAATAGATTTACACTAATGCTGGTAATATTTTGTGTTTTTTATATATTATTCCTTTTATCCAGGTTTATGCGGTGAAGACAAATCAATTGGAAATACTTGATTAAATATTTAGGCGGTCCAAGATTTTGAGTCTGTTACATTCTGGACATACTTTGTTGTTATTGGATTTGGTGCATGCAGCTACTGTGATTTTGACTTCATCTGATTTTGCTTCTCAGGTATATAATTGGTTTGTTTTACAAATGATTATATTGGATTTAATCAATATATTTTTTGTCTGTTTAGATTCCAAGATCGAAGCAGCTTCTTTATTGGGTTCCTTGTTGTGTTTGCCAAATTCATCTTTGCCTAAACCAGTTTTGCAACCTGCATCTCCAAATGTTACTTTGATGGAGTGCCAGATTTACAGGTAATTAAGAACTTATATATAATACCTTAAGTGTACAACTTGTTTGCGCCGTTTTTGCAATACGAGTTCTTTATAATAAC